TCATTGCCAGAACAGCTAAACTAGGTATCTTTAAGTGTGAAGTATGATGTGTTGAGTTGCACAGCTGCTAGATGGGAGCGCCCAAGCATGCGCAAAGTGCCTTTTGCACCAAAGACCCAGAAAGTTAACACAACTAGGCTCCTGGAATCACTTCTACAAAATACCAAAATACAAAATACTAAAAGTACAAAAATAACGTACTTAGTCCTTGACTTACAATCACAATTGAGCCCAAAATTGATGTGGCTACGTGAGACATTTGTTAAGTGAGTTTTGCTCCCATCTGATGACATTTCTTACCACAACGAAGTCAGACACTGCAGTTGTTAAATTAGTAACACAGTTGTTAAGTGTATCCGGCTTCCCCCATTGCGTTTGTGTTTTGGAAGGTCGCAAAAGGGGACCAAGTGACGCGAGGATACAGCAACCGTCATAAATATAAACCGGTTGCCAAGCGGGCGAATTTTGATCACGTGACCATGGGGAGGCTGCAACGGTTGTAAGTATGAAAAAGGGTCCTGTCACTTTTTTCCAGTGCTGTTGTAACTTTGAACGGTCACTAAATGAACGATGGTAAGTGAACGACTCCAGTCTGTGCTAAGCCAATCCCATTGTGAAAACACAGCTAGTTAAGTTTTTTAGCAGATAAATACGCGGTTGCACACTCCGTTCTCAGGTTTTGCGACTCTGCTGTGCGCTTATTAAAGTCTTGAATTCCTGCGGGAGTCCGAAAATAATGTGAATAATTCCCCGTGTTATCGTGTGCGTAGCTTGCTAGAAGTTTACGAGAACGTACAGATCTGGAAGATCAATTGCATCGCTCTTTCTCCATCCTGGATAATGAAATGTACCTTGTCACTTCTTGTACCTGTTCAATTAGAATTCGGTCAACCACTTTCCCAGGCACAATTAAGAAACGGATACTCCTTCGGTGCCATTCAGTTTTATTACCTTTCCTATTATAGAAGGGAATAATAACGGCATTCTGCCAAAGAACAAGTACAGGTGTGGGCCTCACACACCTTAAACAAGCTGCACAGTCATTCTTGAAGACTTTACATCTCCATTTTCACATTGCTCCAGCTGTACAGGGAGTCCTCTTCTTACGACCACAGTTGAGCCCGAATTGTCCATTGCTAAGCGACACAGGGACTGCAGCCAAGAAATTAAAAGATGCTTGCTCCTGGGGAGGAAAGCTATGGCAAATCTAGACAGCATACTAAAAAGCAGAGACATCACCCTGCCAACAAAAGTACATATAGTCAAGGCCATGGTTTTCCCAGTTGCAATGTATGGCTGGGAAAGTTGGACCATAAGAAAGGCTGAGCGCCAAAGAATTGAGGCCTTTGAACTCTGGTGCTGGAGAAGACTCCTGTGAGTCCCCTGGACTGCAAGGCGATCCAACTGGTCAGTCCTAGAGGAGATCAACCCTGACTGCTCTTTGGAAGGCCAGATCCTGAAGTTGAAACTCAAGTACTTTGGCCACCTAATGAGAAGAAAGGACTCACTGGAGAAGAGCCTAATGCTGGGAAAGATGGAGGGCAAGAGAAGAAGGGGACGACAGAGAATGAGGTGGCTGGATGGAGTTACTGAAGCAGGAGGCGTGAGCTTCAATGGACTCCAGAAGATCGTAGAGGACAGGAAGGCCTGGAGGAACGTGGTCCATGGGGTCGCGATGGGTCAGACACGACTTCGCAAGTAACAACAACAAAGCGACACAGTGATTAAGTGAGTTTTGCTCCATTTTACGAGCTTTCTTGCCACCGTTGCTAAACGAATCACGGCAGTTGTGAAGTTGGTCACAGGCTCATTCAGTGAATCTGGCTTCCCTGTTGACTTTGTCGGAAGATCGCAAAAAGGGGATCATGTGATCCCGAGAGACACTGCAACGGTCATAAATACATGCTGGTTACCATATTGATCCTGTCACCATGGGGACATTGCAACGGTCATAAGTGTGAAAAATGTTCGCAAGTCACTTTTTTCAGTCTCGGTGTAACGGTTGCTAAATGAATCGTTGTTAAGTCAAGGATAACCTGTAGTTACAAATGTTCCAACACTGGAAGTCTTTAAGAAGAGACTGGACAACCATTTGTCTGAAATGGTACAGGGTTTCCTGCCTGAGCAGGGGGCTGGATTAGATGACCTCATAGGTCTCTTCCGACTCTATTATTATTGTTGTTGCTGTTGTTGTTGTTATTTACTTTACTGCATTCCCACACTGCTTATGACTTTTTGACAATTTTGTTTTTTTCTTGGACACAAAGATTTAATGGCATTTCTTTCAGTTCTATTTGTCAGCACATCACGGTCAATCTCAAAAAAGATCTCCAAACGACGTCCTCCAGCATTGCCTCACTTCTGTCTTATTCAAAATCATTTTCATCATTTTTATTTTCAGTTCCTTTCACTCTGCTGGAGGCCTTGTCCAGCTCTCTTCATCCACTTCCAAACCAGTTTTTTAAACCGTCTGTCAAAATCACACTGCATTTTCTCTGCCATTTTTAATCTGAGCCGCTCCTGGCTCTCTTCAACCACTCGTTTGTCGTCACTTGTTCAATATGCACATGACTCAGTTTCTCTCGCACTCGTTTTTTCCCCCTATAATTATTCACTTATGATTTTTTTTCTCACCCACGGAATCTCACACCTTCTATTGTATCAAGTCTACCTTTTCATATTTCTCATTAGTGTAATCCTACCCACTTTTTTTTCACTGTGTCCCAAGCAGCTTTCATATCCTCTTTTCTTAACCGTTTTCTATTTACTCTGTTGGGAGATTAACCTATTTGGTTTTTTTTAGTTCTATTTCAGGATATGATTGTTCTACAGGTAGTCCTGCCTCCAGGTGCTTTGGAGATTGACCCCCCCCTTCTTTGTGACTCCCTCAAATACTGAAATCCTGCTTTCATGTCACCCCTCGTCCTTCTCTTCATTAAACTAGACATCCCCAATTCCTGCAACCAGTTTTTGTATGTTTCAGCCTCCAGGCCCCTAATAATCTTTGTTGCTCTTCTCTTTCTAGAGTCTCTCCCCCCCCCACCCCCCTGCATCCCTCCCTGAGCTTTTCAAGGCAGATTCTCCCTCTGGGCAGCATGCTGCTCCTTGGTGCAATGCTAAAATTTGGCCATCTTGCAGGGAAGGCAACCAAAGAATTTTTCTTTCTTTCTTTCTTTCTTTCTTTCCTTCTTTCTTTCCTTCCTTCTTTCTTTCTTTCCTTTTTTCTTCTCTCTCTCCCTCTCAACTTTCTATTTCAATAGTGACCCTTCCTCCCTTCTGTCTTTCTCTTTTGTTACTTTCTATTTCTTTCTTTGTTTCTCTTTTCCTTTGTTCCTTTTTTCTTTCGTTCCTCTTCTTTTGACTTTCTATTTTTTCCTTTCTTTTCCTTCCTTCGTGTCTTTTGTGACTTGCTATTTCTTCCTTTTTCTTTCCTTCCCTCCCTCCTTCCTCCCTTCCATTCCATCATTCTTTCCTTCCTTTTCTTCTGTCCCTCACCATCTTTTGTGACTTTCTTCCTCCCCGTTTTTCATAATTTTCTATTTCTCTCTCTCAACTATCTCTCTATTTCAGTGGTGACCCTCCCTCCCTTCTCTCTCTCTTTTGACTTTCTATTTCTTCCTTCCTTTCTTTTTCCTTCCCTTTTCTCTTTTTCTTCTGACCCTCTCCCTCTTTTGTGACATTCTATTTCTTCCTTCCTTTCTTTTCCTTCGTTCCTCCCTTCCTCTTATTCCCATCTCCTTCCTCCCTTCCTCCCTCTCTTCCTTCTCTCTCCCTCTTTTGTGACATTCTATTTCTTCCTTCCTTTATTTATTTATTTATTTATTTATTTATTAATTGCATTTATATCCCGCCCTTCTCCTTGCGGACTCAGGGCGGCTGACAATTAGATAAAATACTAACATATTATACATTTAATTAAAATTTGATTAAAAAGAAATATTTAAATTTGTCTGATTAAAAGTAATTAAAACCCCTTTAAAATCCCTTAGGCCAGTCCTGCAAGCTGGAACAACCACGTCTTGAGGGCGCGGCGGAAGGAAGGGAGATCAGGGATCACCCTGATCTCTGGGGGTAGTTCGTTCCAGAGGGTGGGAGCTCCCACAGAGAAGGCCCTCCCCCTTGGGGTCGCCAGCCGGCACTGTCTGGCTGACGGCACCCTGAGGAGACCCTCTCTGTGGGAGCGTACAGGTCGATGGGGGGTAATCTGTGGCAGGAGATTTTCCTTCGTTCCTCCCTTCCTCTTATTCCCATCTCCTTCCTCCCTCTCTTCCTTCTCTCTCCCTCTTTTGTGACATTCTATTTCTTCCTTCCTTTCTTTTCCTTCGTTCCTCCCTTCCTCTTATTCCCATCTCCTTCCTTCCTTCCTTCCTTCTCTCTCTCTTTTGTGACTTTCTATTCCTTCCTTTCATTTTCTTTGTTCCTTCCTTCTTTCTCTCCCTTTTGTGACTTTCTTCCTTCCTTTCTTTTCCTTCATTCCTCCCTTCCTCTTATTCCCATCTCCTTCCTCCCTCCCTTCCTCCCTCTCTCCCTCCCTTCTCTCTCTCTTTTGTGACTTTCTATTTTCTCCCCCGTCTTTCATGACTTTCTATTTCTTTCTCTCTCTTTATTTCAATGGTGACCTTTCCTCCCGTCTCTCTCTCTCTCTCTCTTTTATGACTTACTTCTTTCTCTCGTGATTCTCTCTGTATTTCTTGCTCTCTCCTTTCTCTCTATTTCAATGGGGACCCTCCCTTCCCTCTCTGACCCACCTCCCCCACTCCCGGCTGGGTCCAAAGGAGCAGCGGAGCCCCCTTCAACCCGGCCACCCCCTCGATCCCCCCGGGGAGGAAAGACCCAGCCGGGACCCCGCTCCTCCGCCCGGCTGGAAGGAGGCGTCCTCCTCCCGGGCCGGGCGCCTCCCCGGCAGCGCCCGGCCCGGCCCGGCCCTGAAAAGCGGCGTCGGCGTTTCCCGGCGGAGGCGGTGCAGCGACGGACCGCGTCCCCCAGGGCCTCCTCTGACCATGCAGGCCCGGGTGGCGTTCCTGGGCAAGGCGAGCGGCGGTGGCGGGCCCTGCGGGGGCTCCTCGGCTGCCCGCCGGGTTCGTCTCCTCCTGCAGCAGGTGGCCGGGCTGCGGGGCGGCGGATTCCGGGCCTCGCACGGCGGGACAGGCGGCCAAGGTAAGGCGGGGTCCCCGGCAGGCCTTTCCTCCTGCCCGGGGGGGGGGAGGAGGAGGAGGAGGAGGAGAAGGCGGGCGCCCCGGAGACCCTGCCGAGCGAGGGTTTGGCTCTCCCTGGAGGGGGAGGGGGCTTCGGGGGGGGGAAGGGGCTGCTTTGCGATGGGGGCCCCGGAGAGGTCAGCTGGGGAGGCTGGGGACTTCTGGCCCTCCTTTCTTTCTTTCTTTCTTTCTTTCTTTCTTTCGCAACTTTATATTTCAATGGTTAACTTTCCTCCCTCTTTCTCTCTCTCTTTCCTTCCTTACTTTCTGACTTTCTTTTGCAACTCTGTGTGTGTGTGTGTGTGTGTCTCAATGGTAACCTTTTCCTTTCCTCCCTCCCTCCCTCTTTCTTTCTTTCTTTCTTTCTTTCTCTTTCTTTCTTTCTTTCACAACAGTATATCTCAATGATTACCTTTCCTCCCTCTTTCTCTCTCTCTCTCTCTCTCTTTCCTTCCTTACTTTCTGACTTTCTTTTTCAACTCTCTCTCTCTCCGTGTCAATGGTGACCTTTTCCTTTCCTCCTTCTTTCTTTCTTTCTTTCCTTCCTTCCTTCCTTCCTTCCTTCCTTCCTTCCTTCCTTTTGCAACTTTATCTCTCAGTGGTTACCTTTCCCCCTCTTTCTCTCTCTCTCTCTCTCTCTTTCTCTCTCTCTCTCTCTTTCCTTCCTTCCTTTCTGACTTTCTTTTGCAGCTCTCGCTCTCTCTCGGTGTCAATGGTGACCTTTTCCTTTCCTCCCTCTTTCTTTCCTTCCTTCCTTCCTTCCTTCCTTCCTTCCTTTCTTTCGCAACTTTATCTCTCAATGGTTACCTTTCCCCCTCTTTCTCTCTCTCTCTCTCTCTCTCTCTCTCTCTTTCCTTCCTTACTTTCTGACTTTCTTTTGCAACTCTGTGTGTGTGTGTGTGTGTGTGTCTCAATGGTAACCTTTTCCTTTCCTCCCTCCCTCCCTCCTTCTTTTCAACACAGAGAGAGGGAGAACTGCAAGAAATGACATATCATTGAATTCATACATTGTGTTTCTTAGATCCTTTAGNCCTTCCTTCCTTCCTTCCTTCCTTCCTTCCTTCCTTCCTTCCTTCCTTCCTTCCTTCCTTCCTTTCTTTCGCAACTTTATCTCTCAATGGTTACCTTTCCTCCCTCTCTCTCTCTCTCTCTCTCTCTCTCTTTCCTTCCTTACTTTCTGACTTTCTTTTGCAACTCTCCGTGTCAATGGTGACCTTTTCCTTTCCTCCCTCTCTTTCTTTCTTTCTTTCTTTCTTTCTTTCTTTCTTTCTTTCTTTCTTTCTTTCTTTTTTTCTTTCCTTCCTTCCTTCTTTCCTTTTTTCCTTCTTTTCTTTCACAACTTTATCTCTCAATGGTTACCTTTCTTCTCTCTCTCTCTCTCTCTCTCTCTCTCTCAATGGTGACCTTTTCCTTTCCTTTCCTCCCTTTCCTCTCTTTCCTTCCTTCCTTCCTTCCTTCCTTCCTTTCTGACATTCTTTGTAACTTTCTCTCAAAGGTGACCTTCCTTCCTTTCTTCTTTCTGAATTTTCTTTGACTTTCTTTTGTGACTTTTTCTATCTCTCAGTGGTCACCCTCCCTCCTTTTCCCCCAGTTGATAATAGATATGTATGGAGAGATGGAACATAAAAACTTAGTAGGTGGAGCACGATGTGGGCCCTTGTGTGGCCCAGAACTAGAAGTCGGTCTATTAAGTGTTCTGGGCGCCCTGTTGTGTGGAAGACAGCCACTGTTCTCGGGACTGGTGGAGAAACAGGAACTCTACAATTCCTTCTAAGAAGAATCTAGCACTGGGAGGGGGGAGCATCTCGTACTCACTGCCGCTTCTCACAATGAATTTATCCCACGGTTCAACACAATTGACCCAGGCTGGGCGTGTACCACGCGTAGCTTGAAATGTGGTTCGCCAACTGTGGGTTTGTGGTGACAGGCCCACATGTCGCAACAACTTTGACAGGCAGCATTCTTTTTCTCCTTCTGCTAGATCTGTGTTTACTTTAATCTTTACTGATTGTCGGTCACATGCTTTCTGAAAATGATGAGTCCAGGCAGATTTCTGAGTGCCTGGGTGTCCACAGGGGGAGGGCAAAGGTGAAAATAATATGGGTTTATGTTCTTCCACGCTTTTGCTGTCTACCCTGGGTCATTTCTCCATTGCTCAAACGCCTTCACATGGGGTCAGGCTGCTGCCTGTGAAAATCCAGGGACCACAGAGAAGCGGCACAGAGTATAAAACAGGCTAGGCTATCTTGCCTACGTGATTAGGACTCAAATTTTCCTGAGGAAATTTTAAAACTATAGTATCTAGGGCTTACAGGTAACCCTCAGCCTGTGATACCTGACATTAGACCAAATACAGGTAGTCCTCAAGTTATGACCGCATTATTCAAAGTTAACAGTCTGCGATTTTGTGACCATTGCAGCTACACCATCATGCAATCACAATCTGAATGCTCAGTGCCTCTGGCTCACAATCGCGATGTTGTAGACGGCTGCGGTGACGTGATCCCAATGTCCAGTGGTCCCTGCTGTCTTCCCACAAGCACCCACAAACCTGCCCAGCCTCGTCTGTCATTCCCACCTCTTCCTGCTTAATGACCCACACGATCCTAGGGTTAAGCGGTAACCAGGACGGTCGGTGCTTGTCAACACAAACCCACAACGTCTTTATGACCGCATTGCCTAGCGACCCAAATTCCAGTCCCAATTGCCGTGTTTCTAATTGTGTGGAATAAACGCTCGCTTTCCATAATGGAAAACTAAACCTATTTTAAACTTATCACTCCCCCAGGTTTCAGCCTGGACATAATGGCGTAATATAACCTCTCAAATAAAATGCATGGAGACGTTGATATTGATTTTTTTACTGGAACAAGCGCTCAAATCAACGTCGTTAGGAAAGATTACGGATAAACCTGGCACGATTTTCCCTCTTTATTTTTATTGTGGTCCCAGCTGTCCATACTGTATTTGTCTTTCGCCAAGCCTTTTTTTTAAGCAAGACACTTTGCAATATATTTTGACCTTTTAGCATGTTTCTTACTGAATAGCTGTTGAAATTACAACACTGACAATTTTTTTTAAGAGTGGACTTCCCTTCTTTTCAATGTATATTTGCAGTAATAATAATAATAAATAATATTTATTATTATTATTATTATTATTATTATTATTATTATTATTATTATTATTACTATTACATATTAGATGGACAACAGAGAGAAAAAGTGTGTGTTTCTGCCTATATGTAAGCAACGATAAATAACTACCGTATTATTTCTCTCTTTCAGGTGATACTGTTAATATCGGAGACATATCCTACAAACTCAGAAAGCCCCAAAACCCAGAACTGGTCCCAGTGAACTACAGTAAGAAGCAGTATTATCTTAAAATTAAGCTCTAAGTCAGTGATGGCGAACCTTTTAGAGACCGAGTGCCCAAACTGCAACCCAAAACCCACTTATGCATCGGCGGGTGCCGGGTGGGCATGGGCCATTGGCTGGGCATGGCTGCGGTGGTAACAGCAGACTGGGTGGGACTAAAAAGTTCGATCAATCAATTCCAACTTTGCAAGATCTTTTTTTTTTCCCGTGAGAAGTTGAAATTGACTGATTGAACCTTTTTTTTTTTGTACACGGTGGCGGAGGCCTAAAGCGAAAAGGTTTTATAAAACCCAGCTGAAGGCCTAGGACTGGGGCGACGGTGCGCATGCCCACAGAGAGGGCTCCGAGTGCTGCCTCTGGCACCCATGCCATAGGTTCGCCACCACGGCTCTAAGTAAAAGTCTAGTCCAGGAGTAGGCAACCTTGGGTCTTTTATGACTCGTGGACTTCAACTCCCAGAATTTCTGAGCCAGCATGGCTCAGCTTGGAAACCTCTCCCTTTCCCCTCAGCATGGCTGGCTCAGGAATTCTGGGAGTTGAAGTCCACGAGTCATAAAAGAGCCAAGGTTGCCTAGCACTGGTCTAGCTGAATACATTTTATTGCATAATCCTTGGTGCAGAGAAAATCAGTATGTCAGAAATGATGTTCCACCATAAATAACATTGACCAAACAATATTCAGCTGGTCACCAAACTCCGTCTCAGAACGCCTCGGAGAGAAGACAGGATGAAAAAAAAATGCAACAAATAAATAACACGACACAACTGGGTTCAATACGCATTTGCTCCACAAATTTTCATTCGGTGCAGGTTGTCCTCGGTTTAACGACCACAGTTGAGCCCTCCCATTTTTGATGTTAAGTGAGACGTTGGTTAAGTGACTTTTGCCCCATTTTACGACCGTTCTTGTCACAAGTGAATCCCTGCAGTTGTTAAGAGTCAGTAAGGCGGTCGTTAAGCGAATCCTGTTTCCCCCGTTGACTTTGCTCATCAGAAGTTCACAAAAGGGGATCATGTGACCCCCAGGACCCTGCAACCGTCATAAGTACGAGTCAGTTGCCAAGTGTCCGATTGTAAATCACATAACCCCGGGGGTGCTGCAGTGGCTGTGTGAAAAATGATCATAAGTCACTTTTTTCAGTTCCGTCGTAACTTGGAACGGTCACTAAATGAAATGTTGCATTTTGGACTCCGACCAAACCCTCTTAGTTGTTTTATTCCCACCATAGCTACAACTTAAAGTAAGCTTTGTAATCCCCATCTAAGTGACCTATCCTTTTTGGATGGATACGATAATTAATACTTCTAACAATCCCATCGAATTAAAGCAGGCAATTGTATTAGTTATATAGTGCATTGCAAAAAAAATTTCTACCCATTTACTCACAGGTCACTTTTTTAAAAAAAATGTGACTGTTCAAATCACCATTTCCTCGTAATCTCTCATAAACAAAATTACAGAGATTAGCAATTTCTTTAATGCAGAGACGATGGCTCGCAAAACAGTGGCTGAAAATTGGCAAAGAGTAGCTTTTAAGATTTTCACGGTCCTGTAGAGAGCACACTCAACAAAATGAATACTGGTCAAGAGTTATTTATTTACCTCGTCTCGGCAGCCAATTTTTTTTACCATACAATAAGATTTTAGGGATAGATTTTTATTGATTATGTGCTATCAAATTGTTTTCAGTTCCTAGCGATCACATAGATCTATTTTTTGCACGACAATTTAGAGGCAAAGCGTTCACACAACACCCATTTATAGAGATGGAGCACAATTACCACTTTCAAAAATAATTAACTTTATTGGCGTTTGCTCCACCAATTTACCCATAATGATAAAAACGGAATAGCTTTGATTCAAGTTGAATCCGATACCATGAGTGGAATTTTAAGATAGATATACTAAGCTTTTTTGGGTGGTTTATCCTTGTGGTTCAGGGAAATTTTAATATCTATTTCTGCGTTTATAACGCAGCGTAATATCAGAGAGAAAAACTGAAGAATTTGTTTTAAATGCTGGATGCTTAAATATCAAAATCAAGACTGGTGGTAATGATTTTAACAACAACAACAAAAATCATGGTTTTACGGTGGGGGGACCTGGAAGTTTGTGTCAATTTTAAGTTTTAGTTTTGCATGACCTGTGTTTATTTAATGCAAGGCTTAGTTACATTAAATGTATTTTATGTGTTTCCAGTTTGATTTTGGTTTGCGCTTCGCTGAGGTCCATTTGCAAATAAAATGTTTCTAATCGGATCTAATTCTCTGTGATGTTTAAAGCAAGGAGAATTGTTATCGCGACTTTTCTTAAAATGATTTTTTTACAAAACAAACACCAAGATTTCTGAAGAGTGGAGAGAGAGCAGGAGGGCTGTTGAAATGAAACAAGATAAAATACATAGAAGAACAGCTGAAAGAAGAAACATTTTTACTGTCCTTAGCTGCATTGGTGAATTCTATAAATAAGCTCAACTAAATATTTGTGACCTTAAGCGGTGCCTAGAAGCCGTTCTGTTAGACGCAAACAAAGGATTAAAGTTCTAGACTAAATATTAGGTAAATGAAGATAAGTAGAAAGCCACAAATGCATTTGGGGGTTTAACCGGCTATCTCCTTCAGATTTTGGAATATTCTTGTTTTCAGAACAGTATTTGTCTCCTTTATGTTCTGTTCTTCCTGAAAGATCGTTTTAAATTTAGTTTCTATTTTAGGCCTTTCTTAAGTGCGATCCAATTTCTTTTCTTCAAATTATAGCTAAAATAGAACGAACTAAACGTACTAATTTACTAGCAACATTCGGTTATATTGCAAAAAAAAAAAAAAAGATTTCTATTAGAGTTGCAACTCCTTTAGCAATTTAAAAATCTGCTAGATTAAGGCCAGAGTTAAGATTTCTGATGTCGTCTCACCGTCTACAAAGCCCTGAAGCTGGAAATTCAGATTAAGAGACATGACCCACAGTTGAGAATTATCTTATAATATACAGAGTCACATAGGCTTCGTAAAAGCCATCCCGAGTCATCCTTGTGGAGAGATGAACGGCAAACAAATTTAATAAATACTAAAATAAATAATTATTGAGGACCAATAATAATTGAGGAAAAAAGGGTGGGTCTGAAGCACTTCATCAAATCAAACCAAAATTTAGGTCTGCTCTTAAGGCATTTGTCAGTTGGGCAGTTTAATCTTAGTGTCACTAACTTTTGAAAAGAAATTCGCTATTATAGTGTTGGAAATCCCATCCCGTTTTCTAATTGGTTGATTAGGTGGTGATGTTGATGAACCTCTGAAGGTTAATGAATCTTACTAGATTCCAAGAAGCTCAGAGTGGGTATGGAGGCAGATCAATTTCTCAAACCGGATTGGGTTTACTATTGATCTGTTGCTTGAGTCGTGGAATATCTCTGCCTCCAGGGTCTTATGTCTTCGGTATTCGATATCGGATCTTGTCGTGTAGTGTGATGTTGAGGATCATCTAGCAGGAGAGCAGGTGACTTGTGTGATTGTGGTGGAAGGAATCTGGTTGAAGGAAAAATCTGTTGAAGGAAAAATCTTCATCAGGGTCCGGTCCAAGCTGGGAATAAATAAAACGGAGACTGCTTTAGAAAGAAGGTTGTAGTTTATTGAAGAGGAGAGCCAGACAGAAAGATGGCTCTGGAAGAAAAGAGCGAGCACATGTAATAGGGAGTGGGTTTTTATACCCTCTTGGGCTTTTGTTTGGAGCTGTTTCCTGTTCCTGTTTGAGGCTTTGTATTTCCTGTATCATGTACTTTGACCTGAGTCTGTGCCCCTTTGGCATCTGTGGGTAAATCCTATTATGTCCTGTTTTAGAGTTTGGGTGGGGTATGTAGATTGAGCTCAAAATTTACGCTGCTAAGCGAGACATTTGTTAAGTGAATTTTGCCCCATTTTACAAACTTTTCTCGTTGCCTTTGTTAATCACTTGTTAAATTCGTAACTCGGTTGTTAAGTGAATTCCGGCTTCCCCCGTCGACCTTGCCTGTCAGAAGGGGACATTAAAACGGTCATAAGTATGAGTCAGCTGCCAAGCATCTGAATGTAAAACACGTGACCGTGGGGATACTGCAACGGTCGCAAGTGTGAAAAATAGACCTAAGTCCCTTTTTCCGCTGCCGTTGTAACTTTGAACGGTCACTGTTGTAAGCTATAATTCACATTTGTCGTGAGAACCTCTTTCAGGTGCTCTACGCAATCCTGGGACGTAGGGCTTTCCGACAGGGTAAACGTGTGTATTTGCCGTTGTGCATTTGCAATTCGCACAAAAGCCCTTTCCACACTCCTAAGGATTGCACTCTTACCCAGTCTCCTGTTCTTCGGTTGTTGTTTTGTTTTTCTTTCCCCTTTACTCTACTGAAGTTGTATACTTGTTTCCTGAGGGTGACACACTCCGTTCCTTGGTTCCTGCCCACAGAATGCGATTCCCGATTTCATCGTATCCGTGATCTTTTTCCCTCGCAGCTGCTTCTGCCCAGCAGGGAAGAAGTTCACCGTGGGAAAGGAAGGGCATCGCCACAAATAAATAAATGGAGAGTTAGTTTTCATGCAGTCCGTGGAAAACAGTATGATAGTGTGGGAAGTCAGCCCCCCCCCTCCCCAGAGAAGGAAATATTAAAAGGGCAGAAAAATATATTTCCTCAAAGGATCTTAAAGAGGCAGAAAAGCATGCCCAGTTTTCTTAATAGCCCCAAGTCTCCCTCCCCCAAGCAGAAATCAGCTCTGTAGAAATGCAGATGTAAATAATCCAGGAAGGTTGGAGGCCCCCAGCTAGAAGATTAAGAAGATAAAGACCTAAAATCTACATACCCCACCCAAAGTCTAAGACAGGACATAATAGGATGAACTCACAGATGCCAAAGGGACACAGGTCACAATACATGACACAGGAAATACAAAGCCTCAAACAGGAACAGGAAACAACTCCAAACAAAAGGATCCAGAGCAGTGGTTCTCAACCTTTTTAATGCCGCGACCCCAACCGGTCGTAAGTCGAGGACTAAACCGGTCGTAAGTCGAGGACTAAACCGGTCGTAAGTCGAGGACTACCCAACCGGTCGTACGTCGAGGACTTTCCCTTCCCGGGAGCATTGCGCATGCGTGTTTCCGCCCCCTGCGCCGGCCGAGGCGTAGCTGGCAAGCGGCAGAGACGGAGCAGGCCGACCACCAGCTGGCCCAGCTCAAGGGAGGTAAGGCACCCGCCGGAAAAGGGGAAAAAATGGCAGACAAAAAAAATGGCGGACAAAAAAAATGGCAGACAGCCTTGCTTGGCGACCCCCATGAAATGGTCGATCGACCCCAAATGGGGTCCCGACCCACAGGTTGAGAACCACTGCTCCAGAGGGTATAAAAACCCACTCCCTACATGTGCTCTCACTCTTTTTTTTTTCTTCCAGAGCCATCTTTCTGTCTGGCTCTCCTCTTCAATAAACTGCAACCTTCTTTCTAAAGCAGTCTCCATTTTGTTCATCCCCGGCTTGGACCGAACCCTGATGAAGACTTTTCCTTCAACAATAGCAAATCTGTTGCAGAGATGGAGGATCGTCCGTGCAAACGGGCCGGCTTTGTCCAAAGAGGAGGTCAAGCACTTACCTAGAGTAGCAAGGAGAAAGAAGTTCAACAGAGTCTGAAAGTTATTTTTATACGAAACGAAGGATACAAACGGTCCTCTACTTAAAACAGTCGGTTTCGTTCCGTTCGAAGTGACACAGCACGGAAAAAAAGTAACGTACGACGTTTTTCACGCTGACAGCCCTTGCAGCATCCCCCACGGGTCACGTGATCAAAATTCAGAGGCTTGGCAACTGGCATGTACTTGTGGCGGTTGCAGTGTCTCCCTTTTGCGACCTTCTGACAAGCAAAGTCCATGGGGAAGCCGGATTCACTTAACAACCGTGTTACTGACTTAACAACTGCAGTGATTCACTTAACAACCTGGGCAAGGAAGGTCGTAAAAAGGGGCAAAACTCACTCAACAAAGGTCTCACTTAGCAACAGAAACGTCGGGCTCAATTGCGCTCGTAAGCCGAGGACAAACTTAACAGAAGGTCATGAATTTGGTCCTCCGGGTCGTCCTCTACTTACGACCACAATTGAGCCCTTCAATTTATGTGGCTGAGCGAGACAGTCGTTAAGTGAGATTTGCCCCATTTAACGACCTTCCTGGCCACAGTTGTTAAGCCGGTCACTGCAGTTGTTAAGTCAGTAATGCGGTCATTAAATGAATCCGGCTTCCCCTTTGACTTTGCTCATCAGGAGATCACGGGAGTCCGGGACACTGCAACAGTCATAAGTACATGTCAGTGGCCAAGCGTCCGGATTTTGATCACGTGACCATGGGGGAATGCTGCAATGGTTGTGAGTCTGAAAAACGGTCATAAGTCACTTTTTTCCAGTGCTGTTGTAACTTTGGATGGTCACTAAATGAGCTGTTGTAACTTGAGGACTGCCTGTATTCCCCCCACCCCCGCAATTTAAAGCCAACCCTCTAGAGCAGAGATCTTCAAACTTGGCCACTTTAAGACTTGTGGACTTCAACTCCCAGAATTCCTCAGCCAGCGTGAGGGAACTGTGACCCCTTTATGACTTGTGGACTTCAACTCCCAGAATTCCTCAACCAGCGTGAGGGAACTATGACCCTTTTATGACTTGTGGACTTCAACTCCCAGAATTCCTCAGCCAGCATGCCTGGCTGAAGAATTCTGGGAGTTGAAGTTCACAAGTCTTAAAGTGGCCAAGTTTGAAGACCCCTGCTCTAGACATTACCCACGCTATATTTTATTAAATTAATTGGACTCGAACACGATTGGGCACGCAATCTATATGGAACTAGAAGGTCCAGTGACCTTTGAAAGGGTAAGCTTAAAAAAAAAGGCAAATTGAGGAAGAGAAAAACCAGCATCAGTGCCAGAATAGAAAATAGATTCTTTAAAATTTCCTGAAATTGGACAAAAGTTCACGCGACCGTCCTTGCATTCAGTTTCAGATTCCCTGGCTCAGTCTGTGATCCAGCACCTAAGATGGATCATGCAGAAGGATCTCCTGGGGCAAGATGTTTTCTTGATTGGACCTCCGGGACCGCTTCGGCGTTCGATTGCCATGCAATACCTGGTAAGGTTTGGGCAGTGGTGGGATTCAAATAGGGGAACAGCCGGTTCTCTGCGTGGATGCTACTTCCGGAAGTCCGTTCTATCTATCCATCCATCCATCCATCCAGTGGTGGGATTCAAATATGGGAACAACCGGTTCTCTGCATGGATGCCGCTTCCATTCTGGGCCTGCTGGGCAACAAAACATTAGCTACTGGTTCTGCCGAAGTGGTGTGAACCAGCTGTATGTGACCACTGTATCTTTCTTTCTTTCTTTCTTTTTTTCTTTCTTTCTTTCTTTCTTTCTTTCTTTCTTTCTTTCTTTCTTTCTTTCTTTCTATCTATCTATCTATCTATCTAATCTATATCTATCTATATCATCTATATCTAATAATAATAATAATAATAATAATAATAATAATAATAATAATAATGATAAAGTTAGAAAGGACCTTGGAGGTCATCTAGTCCAACCCCCTGCTCAGGCAGGAAACCCTATACCATTTCGGACAAATGGCTGTCCAGTTTCTATCTCTATCAGTGTCTATCTATCTATATCTCTATCTATCTATCTATCTATCTATCTATCTATCTATCTATCTATCTATCTATCTATCTATCTATCTATCTATCTATCTATCTCTGTCTATCTTCTATCTCATCTATCTCTATCTCTTATCATCTATCTATCTCTATTTATCATCTATCTATTAATCTATTCTATCTATCTATATCATCTATATCTATCTGTCTGTCTGTCTGTCTGTCTATCTATCTATCTATATCTATATCTGTCTGCTATCTATCTCATCTATCTGTCTGTCTGTCTGTCTATCTATCTATCTATCTATCTATCTATCTATCTATCTATCTATCTATCTATCTATCTATCTATCTATCTATCTATCTATCTATCTATCTATCCATCTATCCATCTATCCATCTATCCATGTACCCAGTGGTAGGATTCAAATAGCTGAACAACTGGTTCTCTGTGTGGATCCCGCTTCCGGAAGTCCGTTCCGGGCCTGCTGGGCAACAAAACATTAGCTACCGGTTCTGCTGAAGTGGTGTGAACTGGCTGAATCCCACCATCGGGTTTGGGGAGATTTTCATCAGAATTACATTTCTCACCCTTTGGCAACTTTAAGATGTCTGGACCAACTCCCAGAATTCCCTAGTCAGCTATTTTTTTCCCCCAAATCCAAGAGAAGCTTCTTGCATGAGGATAATTTTGCATGCAGGAAACTAAATGTTGATGGCGATTGTCAATCATCCAGATCTTGGTTGTCCCAAAGGTGTTTTTTCAGGAAGCAACCTTACTTTCTTGGTAATAATAATAATAATAATAATAATAATAATAATAATAATAATAGTAGTAGTAGTAGTAGTAGTAGTAGTAGTAGTAGTAGTAGTAGTAGTAGTAGTAGTAATAATAGTAATAATAATAATAATAATAAAGTTGGAAGGGACCTTGGAGGTCATCTAGTCCAACCCCCTGCTCAGGCAGGAAACCCTATACAATTTCGGACAAATGGCCGTCCAGTCTCTTCTTAAAAACTTCCATTGTTGGATCATTCACTGCTTCTGGAGGCAGGTTGTTCCACTGGTTAATTGTTCTCACTGTCAGGAAGTTTCTCCTTAGTTCCTGGTTGGTTTTCTGCTTGATTTATATCCATCCGTTGATTCTTGTTCTGCTTTCAGGAGAATAGGTTGACCCCCTTCTTCTCTGTGACAGCCCCCCCCAAATATTGGAACCCTGGCTATCATGTCACCCCTAGTCCTTCTTTTCGTGAAACTAGACGTACTCAATTCCTGCAACTAGTTTCTTCAGCCTTAGATTTCCTTCCATTCAGTGGCGGTTTGGGCTTGAGCTGCGTGGAATAATTTGGGGTTAAATTCCGCAGCTTATCAATATTTGCCTCGTCCAATAAAATCCCACTTTCTGTAGGAACTGACCAAAAGAGAGGTGGAATATATGGCCCTTTCCAGAGACACGACCGAAACCGATCTCAAACAGCGACGGGAGATCCGAGCTGGCACTGCCTTCTACATTGATCAAGTGAGTAGCAAAACTCACTTTTGCCCTTCAGGATTTCTTTGCTATAAACCCAAAGGATTCACCTGTAGAGACTGACCGGTCCACCTGTCGGATTTCACTGTTGGAAGAACAGCTGTATCGCTTCGACGTTTTAGAGGCAACGGCTTGAAATCTGTGGCAAGAGCCGGAAGCAAGTCGTGTTTTAAACGCTGTTGCCTTATTCTGAATCAGCGGAGCACAACCTTAGCTAGATAAATCGGGGGGGGGGGAGGAGTTTCATCTTGGTGGGAAACAATTTTGTATGTCGCAAATTTTTTGAAAGGAAAATGGTAGCTTTTAGTTGCGCAATTGAGAATAGAGTAGAGTAGGGTAGAGAGTAGAATAGAATGGAATGGAATGGAATAGAATAGAATAGAATAGAATAGAATAGAATAGAATAGAATAGAAAATATGGAATGGAATGGAATAGAATAGAATAGGGAATAGAATAGAATAGAATAGAATAGAATAGAATAGAATAGAATAGAATAGAATAGAATAGAATAGAAAATATGGAATAGAATAGAATAGAATAGAATAGGGAATAGAATAGGGAATAGAATAGAAAATATGGAATGGAATGGAATGGAATGGAATAGAATAGAGAATAGAATAGAATAGAATAGAATAGAATAGAATAGAATAGAATAGAATAGAATAGAATAGAATAGAATAGAATAGAAAATATGGAATAGAATAGAATAGAATAGAATAGAATAGAATAGGGAACAGAATAGAAAATATGGAATGGAATGGAATAGAATAGAATAGAATAGAATAGAATAGAATAGAATAGAATAGGGAATAGAATAGAAAATATGGAATGGAATGGAATAGAATAGAATAGAATAGGGAATAGAATAGAAAATATGGAATGGAATGGAATAGAATAGAATAGAATAGAGAAGGGGAATAGAATAGAATAGAATAGAATAGAATAGAATAGAATAGAATAGAGAAAGGGAATAGAATAGAATAGAATAGAATAGAATAGAATAGGAGAAAGAGAAAGAGAAGAGAGAAGGAGAATAGAATAAAGTAGAATAGAATAGAGCTGGAAGGGACCTTGGAGGTCCTCTAGTCCACCCCCCTGTGAATGAATGAATGAATGAACGAACGAATGCCTCTGTTCTCGATCTGGGTGGGGGCAAGCTGAATAAGATCCAGAGGTCTTCTCTGTCAAGTCCTTTTGTGAACTACCCCCGGCTGTTCCTCTCCCCGGTGCTGATTTTCGTTTTGATTCCTAAGTGTGCGGTCCGGGCCGCTACGGAAGGTCGGATCCTGGTTCTGGAAGGCCTGGAGAAGGCGGAGCGGAACGTCCTGCCCGTCTTGAACAACTTGCTGGAGAACCGGGAAATGCAGCTGGAGGACGGCCGGTTCCTGATGTCGGCCGAGCGTTACGATAAACTGCTGAAGGTAAGCAGACGCCTCGGAGCTCCTTCAAAATTGACAGCCGAGTAGGCTGCGCGGACTTAATGCATCTCAACGAACGAACGTTGCCAAGGAATGCGTAACCTTTCCGAAAGTTTATTTTACAGGTTGTCACGTAGCCAGGACTTGCCGCGTGGGTTGCTTTTAACCCCAGTGGCCTCTCCTTGCCTTCTGTCTCCCTGAACGCTAGCGCCGTGTGCACCCTCGGGATGCATTGACGTTGACCGATAAAGGAGAATATTTGTAGCTAAAGGGTTGAAAGGAAGAGCTCTCTCTGAGCTTGGATGTTTTCTTGCAGGCGTTTCGTGACCCAGCTAGGGAACATCTTCAGGGCTAGAAGGGAGTGGGGTTTAAGGAGGAGGAGGAGAAGTGTGGGGTCCTTGGTGCTCTCTGAGCTTGGATGTTTTCTTGCAGGCATTTCATGACCCGACTAGGGAACATCTTCAGTGCTAGAAGGGACTGGGGTTTGAGGAGAAGGAAGAGGAGGAAGAGAAGGAGAAGGAAAGGAGGAGGAGGAGGATGGGCAGGAGGGGAGGGAGAACTGTGGGTTCTTTGGTGCTCTCTGTGCTGTGTGGTTTTCTTGCAGGCATTTCATGACCCAACTAGGGAACATCATCAGTGCTAGAAGGGAGGAGGAAGAGGAGTGTGGGGTCCTCAGTGCTCTCTGAGCTTGGTTGTTTTTTGCAGATGTTTCATTACCCAACTGAGTAACATCATCAATATTACAAGGGCATGGGGTTTCTGGAGAAGGAGAAAGGGAGGAGGAGGAGGAGGAGAAGAAGAAGAAAAAGAGGAGGAGGAGGAGGAGGAGAAGAAGAGGTGGAGCAGAAGAAGGAGAAGAGGAGGAGGAGGAGGAGGAAGAGGGGGAGGAGGAAGAGGAGGAGGAGGAAGAGGAGGAGGCTTATGGGGTCCTTGGTGCTCTCTGAGCTTGCTTGTTTTCTTGCAGACCTTTCATTACGCAAACTCAGTAACGTCATCAGTACATGCCTTAATTGAATTCTCTGCCCCTGAAGCCATTGCTGAATTATAATAATAATAATAATAATAATAATTTAAAAACAGTTTTTATTTTATTTACTCGGTGTTTAGGAGCACGACAAAGAAGAGCTGGACTCTTGGAGGATTGTTAGAGTTAGTGAGAACTTCCGGGTGATTGCCCTGGGGCTTCCGGTACCCCGATATGTGGGCAACCCACTAGACCCACCGCTTCGATCTAGGTTTCAGGCCAGAGACGTTTATTATCTACCCTTCAAGGTAAGTAAACGTTGCAAATTTTAATTTTCAAAGGCTGGCTGCAGCTTAATGCACCTATTCCTTCATGGCCAACCCATTAATTAATTAAAAAAAAGAAAGCTGTACTCCAGATTAAAAGCGATTTCATTTTTCCGAAGCTCAGCACTTTGGTACATGAAGCGTTTTTGAGTCAGCAATAAAACCAGATCCAACCTGTTAAAACCTAAATGATCATATCCTGGGTTATATCCTCGCACAAGAAGATTCCTGCAATGATTTGTGATGCTTTTTTGTTTCAGGACCACCTTTCCCAACTGTACTTTATTGGAAAGAACGTGTCAACAGAAAGGTAAATAGGCACATTAAATCTCTGCGGAAGGGTTGAAACGCCTCTTTCAAGTTGCCTCGGAATTTAAATATTTGGAATAGGATGACAGACTCTGTAATAAACCAAACCTCAAACCTTGAATCGGGCTGAGCTGAAATTCTGATTGCGTGAGACTCTGATTCGTATTGCAAATTGGTGCACTCTGACTTAAATCGTGTGAGCTTTTTCGAAAACTGGGGTAAATTAAATCACAGTTCCCTGAATTCAGATACAGAGGGGAAAAAATCTACGGAGGTTCTCCGTCACGCAGGCGCTGCTTGTCCCAGAGGTGCTTTTTTTTTCAGGAGGCAACTGGACTTTCTGGTTTTGCTTTGAAGACATTTCGCTTCTCATCCCAGAAGCTTCTTCAGCTCCGGCTGGATGGTGGGGAACGGGAGGGTTTATACTCGGGATCCAAAAAGATCTGGACAAACTCGAACAATGGGCCCTATCCAACAAAATGCGTTTCAACGTGGAGAAAAGCAAAGTCCTACACTTAGGCAGGAAAAACCAAAGGCACAAATACAGATTGGGGGAGACCTGGCTCAAAAACAGCGACTGTGAGAGGGACCTTGGAGTCCTAGTGGACAATCACTTGACTATGAGCCAGGCGTGTGCAGCAGCAGCCAAAAAAGCTAACACAATCCTGGGTTGTATAAACAGGCATAGAATCAAGATCAGGCGAAGTATTAGTACCGCTTTACAAAGCCCTAGTAAGACCACAGGTGGAATACTGCAGCCAATTTTGGTCACCACATCACAAAAAAGATGTTGAGAGTTTGGAAAAAATTCAGAAAAGAGCAACTAAGATGATCCAAGGCCTGGAGGCTAAAACATACAAAGAACGGCTGCGGGACTTGGGTCTGGCTAGTCTAAAGAAAAGAAGAAATAGGGGAGACATGATAGCAGCATTCCAGTATCTGAGGGGCTGCCACAAGGAAGAGGGGGGGGACACATTATTCTTCAAAGCACCAAAGGGAAGGACAAGAAACAATGGTTGGAAACTGATCAAAGAGAGAAGCAACCTGGAATTAAGGAGAAACTTCCTGACAGTGAGGACAATCAACCAGCTTGCCACCAGAAATCGTGGGCGCTCCATCACTGGAGATTTTTAAGAAGAGACTAGACAGTCACCTGTCTGAGATGGTATAGGTTCTCCTGCTTGAGCAGAGGGCTGGACTAGAAGACCTCCAAGGTCCCTTCCAGCTCTATTCTATTCTATTCTATTCTATTGTCATTCTTCTTTTCTATTCTATTCTATTCTGTCACCTGTCTGAGATGGTATAGGTTCTCCTGCTTGAGCAGGGGGCTGGACTAGAAGACCTCCAAGGTCCCTTCCAGCTCTATTCTATTCTATTCTATTCTATTCTATTCTATTCTATTCATTCAGGGGTGGTGTCTTCTGCTCTCTTCCCCCTTAGACCAACTTCCAATAACCAACTTTTAATTCAAATCAATATACTGTACTTAAAAGTATCTATGGAGATTCTCAGTTACTTTTTGCTACCACTGCCAAAAAAAAAAAAAAAAGGACGTAAGATTGGGCACGACTCACTTACTGCATTGCTTAGCGATGAAAAGTTTGGGCTCCATTGCGGGCCGTAAGCCGAGGACTGCCGGTACCAAGCTTTGCCTTCCTTAAAAGGCCCTTTGAAATTATTGCAAGCGTGCCAAGTCTTCCAGGCAAGTTAATACTGATTTTTTTTATTTATTTCTAGAATCTCGCAGATGTTGTCCTTTGCCACGACTCTCTGCACCCAAGAATCGTCTTCGCTGGGCCTGCCCGATTTCCCCTTAGACAGTTTGTCCTCTGCTGTGCAGATTCTGGTAGGTCTGTGCCCATTATAAGGGGGTCCTCGGTTTACAACCGATCATTCAGCCACCGTTCAAAGTTACAACGGCACTGGAAAAAAAGGAGACTTATGACCGTCTTCCACCGCAGTCGTTAAGTTAGCTTAACATTGGCTTTGCTTGTCAGAAGGTCATTAAAGGGGGATCACGAGACCCCCCGGGACTCTGCAACCGTCATAAGTACATGCCAGTTGCCAAGCCTCTGGATTTGGATCACCTGAAACATGGTGGGTGCTGCTGCAACAGTCATAAGGGTGAAAAACGCTCAGAAGTCCCTTTTTTTCAGTGCCGTTGTTAACTTTGAACGACAAACTGTTGTAAGTCAAGGACTTAACCTGTATTCGGATTTATCCGGATGCTTTGGGTTCTTAGAATCCGGAGCCCTCTTTAAAAATCTATTTTGTGACTCAGACACTCTTTTCTTCCTTCTGATCATGTCTGGGAATCTTCATTCACTGTTTCTGGAATACCTGTTTGTTTATTTATTTTTTGCAACAAACCACTTCTGTCGCCTGCCCAGTAGATATATATTTCAGGCTTCATTGATTCTTTTTATTTTATTTTATTTTAATGGAACATGTCTAAATATTCAGTAGATCTTTGATTTTGCAGGCCGTTTGTTGGCCATTAAAGTTAAATCTCCAGTGGGGGAGCGGAGTTATTTTCTTTGATTTACATCATTGGCATAGATCAGGGGTCTTCAAACTTGGCCCTTTGATGACTTGTGGACTTCAACTCCCAGAATTCCTCAGCCAGCGTGAGGGAACTATGACCCATTTATGACTTGTGGACTTCAACTCCCAGAATTCCTCAGACAGTGTGCCTGGCTGAAGAATTCTGGGAGTTGAAGTTCACAACCAGGAGTCTTCAAACTTGGCCCTTTTATGACTTGTGGACTTCAACTCCCAGAATTCCTCAGCCAGCGTGAGGGAACTGTGACCCCTTTATGACTTGTGGACTTCAACTCCCAGAATTCCTCAGCTAGCGTGAGGGAACTATGACCTTTTTATAACTTGTGGACTTCAACTCCCAGAATTCCTCAGCCAGCGTGAGGGAACTGTGACCCCTTTATGACTTGTGGACTTCAACTCCCAGAATTCCTCAGCCAGCGTGAGGGAACTATGACCCTTTTATGACTTGTGGACTTCAACTCCCAGAATTCCTCAGCCAGCGTGCCTGGCTAAGGAATTCTGGGAGTTGAAGTCCACAAGTCATAAAAGGGCCAAGTTTGAAGACTCCTGTCTTAAATCTAACAAACAAAATGGAGGCTGGCTGAGGAATTCTGGGAGTTGAAGTCCACAAGTCATCAAAGGGCCAAGTAAAATCTACATATTTAGATTTCTGCCTCTTTATATTGAGCTACACATCTGTTCCGGCTGGGTATGATGTAGCCTTGAACAAGTGCGACTTAAAAGGGAAGGAGAAGGGAAGGAGGGAAAAAACACACAAACACCCGTTCATTCTTTCCCAATCTCTAGAGATGTTTCTCCTTCAAGCTGCCAGAGACTTGGAATCTCAACAGATAAGCTTCACAAGTTTAACCTTGGAAGTTTGCAAATATTTAGCCAAAGGACTCGGATTAGTTCTCCTCCCAGGTACATCGGCCTGAGATTTTTTATGTTTTTGCTTCTTTGTCTTCCGTAGAATTCCTTCCCTATGATGTCAGTGCAACATATCCTCAACTGGCTTTATCCGTATAATGTTTTGCTAGGAAAAGAAGGCCAGACAGCCGTTGAAGACACCCTGAAAGTGAGTTTTTTTTTACTGAATTGCTGCACCAACCGAATCAAAAAATGGTGCTGGGAAAACTTAATTCAGCCCAGGGAGAATATCCCTTCCTTGATCTCTATTTTCTTAATTTGTAGGAAATTTTTCATATGTTAGAATATAGCAGCCCCTGGATTAGAACTCCAGACTTTTCTGGAACAGAAACATGGGGTATAGGGCAGGGGTAGGCCACTTTGGCCCCTTTTATGACTGGTGGACTTCAACTCCCAGAATTCCTGAGCCAGCATGGAGGAACTATGGCCCCTTCATGACTCGTGGACTTCGACTCCCAGAATTCCTGAGCCAGCATGGCTCAGCTTGGAACCCTCTCCCTTTCCCCTCAGCATGGCTGGCTGAGGAATTCTGGGAGTTGAAGTCCACCAGTCATAAAAGAGCCGAGGTTGCCTACCCCCTAGTATAGGGTCTCCTGCTCGAGCAGGGGGTTGGACTAGATGACCTCCCAGCCCCCCTGTTATTCCGTGTTATTCCAGAATATGTTTTTTTGGTTTTTACATTCTAGAAACTGAAATATTCTAAGAGCTTTTTTTATTCTGGAAATACGTTATTGGGGTTTTGCCAAATAGATATTCCGATCGTCGTCGTCGTTTTATTCCTGTGGCTTTTGCAGTTTTTGTTTTTTGTTTTCAGGGGTAAAAGAGGCAAAAAAAAATGACGAAAGCGGCGCTTTAAAATTACCCTCTCGTCTTTTCTCCATTGAATTCTGTTCAACGTCTTGAAGATAATAATGACGATGTGTAGCACGTTCTGTGAAGGACTTTGTCTTCACTTAATGGACTAACTGAATAACTGAAATAAAATATACATGTTAATGGTGCTGTTGTCTAAAGCGGGAGCCAGAATTGGCTTCGGAATGCCTTAGCCACGAAGCTAGAAACCAAATTTGATTTTGCTAAAGTACAGGTAGTCCTCAACTTATGATCCCAATTGTTCGGTAGCTAAGCAAGACTAAGTGGGTTTTACCCCATTTTATGACCGGTCTTGCCACAGTTGTTAGGGAGATGGGAGGGAGGGAAGGAAGGAGGAAGATGGGGGAAGGGAGGGAGGAAGGACAGGAAAGGAGGGAGGGAGGGAAGATGGGAGGGAGGGAGAAAGATCAGAGGGAAAGAAGGAGGGAGCGAGGGAGGAAGTTGAGAGGGAAGGAAGGAAGGAAGGGGGAGAGAGGGAGGGAAGGAGGAAGATGGGAAGGAAGGAGGGAGGGAGGGAAGAAGGAAAGAAAGGGAAGTAAGGAGGGAGAAAGATGGGAGGGAAGGAAGAAAGGAAGGGAGGGAAGGAGGAAGATGGGAAGGAAGGAGGGAGGGAGGGAGGAAGATGGGAAGGAAGACAGGAAGAGGGAGAGAGGGAAGGAGGAAGATGGGAAGGAGGGAGGGAAGAAGGAAAGAAAGGGAAGGAAGGAGGGAGAAAGATGGGAGGGAAGGAAGAAAGGAAGGAGAGGAAGGGAGGGAAGGAGGAAGGTGGGAAGGAAGTAGAGAGGGAGGGAGGAAGATGGGAGGGAAGGAAGACAGGAAGAAGGAGAGAGAGAAGGAGGAAGATGGGAAGGAGGGAGGGAGGGAGGGAGGGAAGGAGGAAGATGGGAGGGAAGGAAGACAGGAAGAGGGAGAGAGGGAAGGAGGAAGATGGGAAGGAAGGAGAGAGGGAAGAGGGAAGGAAGGAGGGAGGGAGGGAGGAAGATGGGAGGGAAGGAAGAGAGAGGGAAGGAGGAAGGGAGGGAAGAAGGAAAGGAAGGAAGATGGGAGGGAAGGAAGAAAGGAAGGAAGGAGAGAAGAAGGGAGGGAAGGAGGAAGGTGGGAAGGAAGTAGGGGGAGGGAGGAAGATGGGAGGGAAGGAAGACAGGAAGAAGGAGAGAGAGGAGGAAGACGATGGGAAGGAAGGAGGGAGGAAGGAAGGAAGAAAGAAAGGAAGAAAGAAAGGAAGGAGGGAGGGAGGGAGATGTGCAATAGGCCTCCCCCAGCCATTAAAAGGAAGTTTCACTCTATTCTAATGTCATTGTAAATCCTCCTAAGTTATTTAAAATCCATCTCCTTTGGCAATAATAGATGAAAATTACTTAAGAAAATTACTTAAAGGGCTGCAGCCAAGACGTTCCATAGCCTCCTGTCGCCCTCGCGCTGCCGCCTCCGCTCCTTCCCTCTTAAAAGACAGACTTTCTCACCTTAAATGTACCAAGTACCTCCTCGTATATCTCACGGGGTCCGTTTCCAAGCTGAGCATTTTTATTTTGGCCTGCTCGGTTCTTACGCCACGGTTTGCTTGCTTCTCTTCAAAGGAGGAGCTCATTCAAGCGCAATCAGACATATCTCAGGTTCTGGAGGGAGAAAAAAATACCATCTCACTTTACTTGTAATCGTTGCTTTACACGTCAAAAAAAAAAATGCAAGAAAAAAAATAAAGGGTCTCTCTCTTCCATAGCGATTTGAACTCCAAGATTCCAGGAAATTTTCTGTCCCTACGAACGTTATAAGCGTGACGAAGAGGGAGGGTGACAAGAGCTTGCAGGCTGACGTGACCATCGCCATAGCTGGAGAAGCTGTGACGTTCCAGGTATTCACTTAAAGATGTATTTAATAAGAAAAAAGGATAGGCTTATTTTTTGCCTTTCCTTGCATCTAATTCCCTTCCTTCCCTTCCTCCCTCCCTCCCTTCTCCTTTCTTTCCTCCCTCCCTCTCTCCATTTCCTCCTTTCTTTCATCCATCCATACCCTCCCTCCCCCCCCTTACTTCCTTCCATCCATCCATCCTCTCCCTCCCTCCCATCACCTTCCATCTCCTTCCTTCCTTCCTTCCTTCCTTCCTTCCTTCTTTCCATCTCCTCCCTCCCTCCCATTGCTCTCCTTCCTTCCATCTCCTTCCTTCCTTCCATCCATCCATCTCCTCCCTCCCTCCCATTGCCCTCCTTCCTTCCATCTCCTTCCTCTCTCCCTCCCTTTCTTCCTCCCTTCCTCCCTCCTTCCCTCCCATTGTCTCCCTCCATTCCATCTTCTTCCTCCCTCCCTCCCTTCCTCCTTCCCTCCTTCTTTCCATCTCCTCCCTCCCTCCCATTGCTCTCCTTCCTTCCTTCCTTCCTTCCTTCCTTCCATCCATCCATCCATCCATCTCCTCCCTCCCATTGCCCTCCTTCCTTCCATCTCCTTCCTCTCTCCCTCCCTTTCTTCCTCCCTTCCTCCCTTCCTCCTTCCCTCCCATTGTCTCCCTCCATTCCATCTCCTTTCTCCCTCCCTCCCTCTCTCCCTCCCTTTCTCCCTCCCTCCTTTCCTTCCTCCCATCCCCTCCCTCCCTAAATAAGTAAATAGACAAATAAATTAGTTAAATAAAGAATAGGCACTCTTTGTCAGAGCCCGGCTATCGCAGCCAGTTTGGTTGAGTGGCAGAGGAGCCAAAACGGGACAGCCATGAGCCAGGCGTCCGAAGGCCGGCTCTGTGGCCAGGTCTCCCCGAGCGTTCGGCGTCACGTTCGTGGCCTAAGAGATGCCGGGCGGGCCTCTCCCCCCACCCCCCACCCCCCCGTCCCGCCTCACGGTGCCAATCACGACCTCTCTTTGCAGGTCCCTGCTGGGGCTCAGCTCTCCGGCCCGAGTCCGGGGACCGAAGGCTTTGTCCGAACGTTCAGCCACGAACGGCTGCTGGCCGAGATGATGCAGTCTCACATGGTTAAAGACGTCTGCTTGATCGGACAGAAGGTAAGCACCCTAAAACACGTTCATCGACGGAGGAGCCTTTGCCGCTTCTCCAATCGAAGCGCTTCTTTGCGCGACCGTTTCGAACCCTTTTCTCTCCCTTCTCTCCGCGCAGGGTTGCGGCAAAACGGTTGTGGCTAAAGCCTTTGCGGCCCTGTTAGGATATCACATAGAACCCATCATGCTGTATCAGGTAAATTCTATACTTGGTGAATTGTATCATGCTTCTCCGGCCTCGGCCATTTATAATAATGATGATGATGATGATGATGATAATATATCAGAGCGTGCATAGGCTTTTTTTATATATATAAATATTTTATTAGGTTTTATAAGGATAGGAAAGGGATGGGATCGCTGCGGGTATAGGAAAGGGTAGGACTAGGGCAGTGATGGTGAACCTTTTAGAGACCGAGTGCCCAAAGTGCAACCCAAAACCCACTTATGCATCGTCGAGTGCCGGGTGGGTGTGGCTCATTGGGTGGGTGTGGCCCATTGCCTGGGCGTGGCTGCAGTGGTAACGGCAGACTGGGTGGGACTAAAAAGTTCAATCAATCAATTCCAACTTTGCAAGATCTTTTTTTTTCCCACGAGAAGTTGAAATTGACTGATTTTTTTTTGGCACACGATGGCAGAGGCCCAAAGCGAAAAGATTTATAAAACCCAGCTGAAGGCCTAGGACTGGGGCGACAGTGCGCGTGCCCACAGAGAGGGCTCTGAGTGCCACCTCTGGCACCCGTGCCATAGGTTCGCCACCACTGGACTAGGGGATTGGGAATGGATTAAGGATAGGTACAATGATGGGGTTACCCCCAACAAAAATTCCACGCTTCGCAAGCAAATTACCGTCCGGGTATAAATGTTGAATAAAGATCACTTATATAATACTAAACAGTTATCATAAACTGGGTTAACAATAATCATAACAATAAAGGATAGTAAATAAATATGATTCGTCTTGCTAAATAAGGATAATTAATGAAATACTAATTAATTATAATCACTAATGCTTAAAATCACATTCATCCAATTTAATTTCAGAGTCTTTTCTTGCTCTATCGTATTGCCAACCATTGATAAACATTTTCCCATGTTTTAAAATAGATAGAGCCTTCTTTTTCTTTGATCTCTAAAGTTAATCTATCCATTTCTGCGCATTCTAAGATTTTAGTAATTATAGTCTGGTCAGGTGGTAAACCTTCATTTTTCCAAAGTTGGGCAAATACTATTTTCGCCACTGTCAATACGTGCAATATTCATTCTCTTTCCCATAATTGATTCCTAATTGAGCGTGTACAGTCTTATTGCGCTGAGATAATGCAGGAATAAGCACAGTAAACAGTGGTTTATATTTATATTAAATGGCGGTTTATCCTACACTGTCTACAATGTCACACACCAGGAACAATATATATATACTCGTGCTGATACAGCAGGATCCAACAAGCCACAATTACAGCAGGAAACGGAAGAGCGAGAACACGTCCCTTTATATAAAGGCTCTTCAAAGGACACAGACCCTGCTGAGTCATTCTCATTGTTACATTACAGCTTACAGCTTACATTACACAAGCTGGTTAGCTGTGAATGGTTATAAGTTGAGGAGTACCTGTATACTCAGCTGAGGTGACTATTCATAGGTCAATCGTTTGACATGTCCACAGAAAAAAATGTCTAGTTGTGCTAGATTTTTCTAGAAACCTAGAACATCTCTTAAGAAATATTTCCAGGCATTGTGTTATCCGAAGATAGATACCTGGCTGAAATAGTGAAGACTCTTTTTCTAAGTGTTTGAGCCCACGATTTGTTTAAAGAATTCTGCATTGGCAGCTAAATCTAGATGGCTCTGGAGATTCTCCATCGTCCCAGTCCTGGTTGTCCCAAAGGTGCTTTTTTCACGAGGCAACTGGACTTTCTTTGTTTTTCCTTGAAGACATTTCGCTTCTCATCCAAGAAGCTTCTTCGGCTCTGACTGGATGGTGGAGGACGGAAGGATTTACATTCCTTGCAGTCATCTGGTTGTTAGTACTCTTTCTGAGAGTCGTTGAGGCCACTTGGAGGCTTATCTGTTTATCTGCCCCAGTGGCCTCAACGACTCTCGGAGAGAATGCAAATGACCGGATGACGGCGAGGAACGTAAATCCTTCCGTCCTCCACCATCCAATCAAGAGCTGAAGAAGCTTCTTGGATGAGAGGAGAAACATCTTCAAGGAAAAAACAAAGAAAGTCCAGTTTCCTCTTGGAAAAAGCACCTTTTTTTGGGACAGCCAAATCTAGCTGAGTTTGACTGCGGTCGCGGTGCTCTTCTCATTGTTCCCAGGATATGACAGCGCGAGACCTTCTGCAGCAAAGGTACACTCTGCCCAACGGGGACACCTCCTGGAGGCCTTCTCCCCTGGTCACCGCGGCCCTCCAGGGGAAGCTGGTCATTCTGGATGGCATTCACCGGGTCAACCCAGGCACGCTAGCCGTCCTCCAAAGGTATCGCAGCCGTGGTGGGGAGCTTTGTGGAATGCTACGAAGCATTGAGCCGCGTGCACAGCCTGTGGTCAGGTTCACTCTTCCATCTGAGAAGAGGCAGAACGGGCCTTGTTGGAGCGTAATTGCAAGACGTGTGCAGAATAGGTGGGGTCCTTGGTGCTCTCTGAGCTTGGTGGTTTTCTTGCCGATGCTTCATTATCCAAACTAGGTAACGTCATCAGTACTGATGATGTTACCTAGCTGGGTCATGAAAAGTCTGCAAGGAAACAACCAAGCTCAGAGAACACCAAGGATTCCACAGTCCTCCTATTCTTCTTCTTCTTCTTCTTCTTCTTCTTCTTCTTCTTCTTCTTCTTCTTCTTCTTCTTCTTCTTCTTCTTCTTCTTCTTCTTCTTCTTCTTCTTCTTCTTCTTCTTCTTCTTCTTCTTCTTCTTCTTCTTCTTCTTCTTCTTCTTCTTCTTCTTCTTCTTCTTCTTCTTGAAGAAGAAGAAGAAGAAGAAGAACTCCTCCTCCTCCTCCTCCTCCTCCTCCCTTCTAGCACTGATTATGTTACCTAGTTTGGATAATGAAAAGTCTGCAAGAAAACCACCAAGGTCAGAAAGCACCAAGGATCCCACAGTTCTCCTCCTCTTCCTCTTCCTCCTCCTCCCTTCTAGCACTGATTATGTTACCTAGTTGGGTCATGAAAAGTTTGCAAGAAAACAACCAAGCTCAGAAAGCACCAAAGACCCCACAATTTTCCTCCTCTTCCTCCTCCTCTTCCTCCTCCCTCTAGCACTGATCATGTTACCTAGTTGGGTCATGAAAAGTCTGCAAAAAAAAAAAAAAACCAATCAAGCTTTTCAGGGGAACTCACTATCATGTCCCCCCTCGTCCTTCTCTTCATTAAACTAGACATTCCCAATTCCAGCAACCATTCCTTGTACGTTTTAGCCTCCAGTCCCCTAATCATCTTTGTTGCTCTTCTCTGCACTCTTTCCAGAGTCTCCACATCTTTTTTACATCGTGGGGACCAAAACTGGATATATGTTCCCAGAAAACCCAGACTGATGACAACCCCGTTTATTTGTTTATTTCTTTCGCAAAACCTCTTGCAGATTGATTCACGATAGAGAGATTACACTTTACGACGGTACCAGATTATTGAGGGAAGACAGATACCGAAAGTTACAGGAAGACCTTCAAATCTCAGCTGAGGAGCTGCAGCAAAGGTAACCTGCTAGACATTTATTAAAACGAATTGCATTTTCAAACAGGCAGAGGGAGGAAAGTAAAGGACTTGCTGTATGTCTTTGGGAAGATCTGGACCAGGGGTCTTCAAACCTGGCCCTTTTACGACTTGTGGACTTCAGCTCCCAGAATTCCTCAGCCAGCCTCCATTTTGTTTGTTAGATTTAAGACAGGGGTCTTCAAACCTGGCCCTGTGATGACTTGTGGACTTCAACTCCCAGAATACCTCAGCCAGCCTCCATTATGTTTGTCAGATTTAGGACAGGGGGCTTCAAACCTGGCCCTTTGATGACTTGTGGACTTCAGCTCCCAGAATTCCTCAGCCAGCCTCCATTTTGTTTGTTAGATTTAAGACAGGGGGCTTCAAATCTGGCCCTTTTATGACTTGTGGACTTCAGCTCCCAGAATTCCTCAGCCAGCCTCCATTTTGTTTGTTAGATTTAAGACAGGGGTCTTCAAACCTGGCCCTTTTACGACTCGTGGACTTCAACTCCCAGAATTCCTCAGCCAGCCTCCATTTTGTTTGTTAGATTTAAGACAGGGGTCTTCAAACCTGGCCCTTTTACGACTCGTGGACTTCAACTCCCAGAATTCCTCAGCCAGCCTCCATTTTGTTTGTTAGATTTAAGACAGGGGTGTTCGAACTTGGCCCTTTTATGACTTGTGGACTTCAACTCCCATAATTCCTTAGCCAGGCACACTGCTGCCCTTCTAGATGTTGACAGCTGCCGTGTCATTTGTTCCCGTTTCCCATGTTTCTTTCTGATCTTTCCCCTTCCATGTTTATCAGCAGAGGCTCAGCTTTGAGGCTTGCAACATTCGGCTAAAAATAACCGTTTTGAACTTCAAGGCTTTGATCTGCAGGAGCGTTTTCAGAAACGGCAGTTGACCCTTTTGCATTTTTGCTTGGGCTTTCCCCCCCCCCCCCAAAAAAAAGAGGGCTCACTGCTGTGTAACTTCTTCACATTATTCCTGCAGACCAAAGTTGGACTAAATCTTTTGCCTCGCAGTACACAACTCTGTTGGGTGAACTGGCAAAGAAACAGAAAGTCTTCTTTTAGTCAAAATTTACAATTAGCAGGCGAGCACGCTTGGCTCGAGTAAATGCGTCATGTCTGCTTACTGCTCTGGCTTTCTCCAATTAATTAGGCATCATTAATTCTCGGTAATCTTGTAGTGAAGGGAAATCTCCCGGGTGAATCGGGGTTAAAGACAGCAAAGAGCGATTGCATGCGTAGGTAAGGGTTTAATTCTGATCTAATATCCTTACGCCTGGTTAGACGAATCAATTCAGGCTAGTAAGTTGTATGGGGGGGGGGGGGAAATGCTAGCTTGGGTATTTATTTGGGGACCCAGAACAGAAATGCAGAAACTGAACACCTGGAGGAGAAGGATAGGCAGAACCTGGGGTCGGAGTCAAGAGAGGAATCAACATGGAATCCTTACGTTCCCACAAATGCTCTAAATCCAATTCCTCTTGAATTCCATTAACTCTTTATCTCGCGCCAATTTAATGCTGACCGTTAGTTGACTGGATTCTTGCCTATAGATTTGAGAAATAAATCAGTTTAATTAGAACTTAATGTGTATTCTTTGCCCTAACTGTCATGCTTTTAGACAACATTCAGATGCCCTTCGGTTCTTGGCAAGGCAAAACAACTCAATATTGTTATTTTACATTCTTTTTCTCCTAGGGCTATTTTTCCCATCCACCCTTCCTTCCGAGTGGTCGCGTTGGCAGAACCGCCTTCCGTTGGAAGTACCACCCAGCAGTGGTTGGGCCCAGAGCTTTTGACCCTGTTCTTTTTCCATTATATGAAGCCGCTAAGCAAGAACGAAGAAATTAAAGTGATTAAAGAGATGGTAAGCCACTCCAGAGATTTGACGTTTGAGTCACCGTTGACCCTGTTCGTCTTCCTCTCTGTTTTGCACAATGAGTCACGGCAAAGTCATACACGCACGAGAAGCTGAATTACATGTAGTCCTTGATTTACAACTTACAATTTGTTGAGCGGCTGTTCGAAGTTACAACTGCAGTGAAAACGAACGGACGTGACAAATCATCGCACTATTGCTATTGCAGGCTAACTCTGCCCACAGTCAGGGGTTTGATCCTGACTGGCTCAAGGTTGATTCAGCCTTCCATCCTTCCAAGTTCGGTAAAATGAGGACCCAGATTGGTGGGAGCAAATATGCTGTAAACCCCTTAGAGAGGGCTGTAAAGCACTGTGAAGTGGTATATAAATCTAAGTGCTGTTGGTAAGTGGGAAGGGAGGGAGGAAGGAAGGAAGGAAGGAAGGAAGGAAGGAGCTGTGGTGGCGCAGTGGTTAGAATGCAGTATTGCAGGCTAACACTGCCCACTGCCAGCAGTTCGATGCTGACCGGCTCAACGTTGACTCAGCCTTCCATCCTTCCGAGGTCGGTAAAACGAGAACCCAGATGGTTAAGGACAACAGGCTGACTCTGTAAACCACTTAGAGAGGGCTGTAAGGCACTATGAACTGGTATATAAGTCTAAGTGCTATTGTTATTGCTATATTCAATTTCTCCTCTTTTCAGTATATTAAGTGTTCGCTGGTCTTCTCCACGTTCATTTGTTTGCATTAACTTTTGTCCCACATTCCTTGACGCTTCTCTTAAATCTCCTTGTGCCCTTTTGAGGTTTTGTGTGTGTGTGTGGATTTGTCTACACCAGGGTCGGCACAGAAGGAGGCTTATGCATTATTTGTTTCAGGTTCCAAATGTAGCCCGGGCCTCGGTGGAGAAGCTGCTGAAGTTAACGCACAAGCTTCGTGAGACCAACGATCCCACCGTGAGTTTTGACGTTTCCACGTTTGATCCTTTGTCTTGCTTTTCCATCGTCAAATCCCTAAAAGTCCACTTGTCATGGTTCCGACCGATGAAAGTCTTCGGAAGAACTTGGAGGCATTGTTTACCTTAAAGAAACTTTATTTGAGTAGCAGGGCATCGGCACTAACACAGTCGAAGCCAAAAACTGGATTCCCCTCCCCTGAGCCCATAGTATCAAGAGCACAATTCCTTACTCCAATTAACCGTCATAAATCACATTCCCCAATTAGCTTGAAATGCAGGCTTTCCCTCCTGTTCTCCAGCCCGCCAATTCTTATCATCTCTTGTTTCAATAACCTTGGTTCTCACCCTAGGCCCAGTATTGTTATGTCTATCTAGTGCACATTCCTCCCCCCGCCAGCATCATCTAACTCTAAAAGTAAAACATAAGAGGAAAATGGCTGCATCTTTAACTGTTGTCAAAGCAAAAACATTCAACGTTAGCAGCGTTGACACCACTCCTGTTGTCCCAAAGGTGCTTTTTCCAAAGCAGCTGGACTTTCTTTGCTTTTCCTTGAAGATGTTTCGCTTCTCATCCAAGAAGCTTCTTCGGTTCTGACTGGAGGGTGGAGGACGGAAGGATTTACATTCCTTGCAGTCATCTGGTCATTAGTACTCTCTCTGAGAGTCATTGAGGCCAATTGGAGGTTTATCTGTTTATCTGCCCCAGTGGCCTCAACGACTCTCGGAGAGGGTGCAAATGACCAGATGACGGCAAGGAATATAAACCCTTTAACGTTCGTTTATTTTATACATTGTTCTATGCCAGTGGTGGTGAACCTATGGCACGGGTGCCAGAGGCGGCACTCAGAGCCCTCTCTGTGGGCACACGCACTGTCGCCCCAGTCCTAGGCCTTCAGCTGGGTTTTATAAAACCTTTTCGCTTTAGGCCTCCGCCGCCGTGTGCAAAAAAAAAAAAGGTACAATCAGTCAATTTTAACTTCTTGCGGGAAAAAAAAGATCTTGCAAAGTTGGAATTGATTGATTGAACTTTTTAGTCCCACCCAGTCTGCTGTTACCACCGCAGCCATGCCCACCCAATGGGCCACGCCCACCCAATGGGCCACACCCACCCGGCACCCGACGATGCATAAGTGGGTTTTGGGTTGCAGTTTGGGCACTCGGTCTCTAAAAGGTTCGCCATCACTGTTCTAAGAAGAAAAAAAAGTGTTTTTTAATTTTTATTTCATTCAAATACAAATAACACAACACATACAAATCTAAATAAAAAAACGATAAAAAAAAATGCGAATACTACAGTGCACCCACACCCCGGAGACCATTTTTATTACCTATATTTCTTCTCATATAACAACTAACAACATACAATATATTTCAATTGTGCCCCTTATCCCCTCCAAATTGGGTAGCTAATCAATTAAGGGTGGTCCCAGATATTATAGCAGTACATAGAGATTTATTATGGAGCGATATAGAATTGAAGGAATTAAGGGAAATAGGCGATCCTATAGAAACATATTGGTTTAAAAAGGATATTTAAAAAAACTGTTAAGAGAATTCAAAATCCCTTTTTTAAAAATTTGATGGAATAAATGGAGATATCAGTTAATGCCAGGAATTTCTCCTTTAACGCCGGTGGTAGAAATGGAGAAATTCCCTAAGATGGAATTGAAAGATTGGATTAGTAAATTAGAAAAAAAAAAAAAATCAGATATATAAATGGGAAGACTGGAAGAACAAGATAAAGAATATGATACCATTTTTAAAAAAAGAGTGTTAATAATCTCGCTCAGTGTCGCAAGATCCACGCGGCGCTTCACGTCAATTCCGTTTCGTGTCCAAATTGTTTACAGGGCGTCGGTCTGAAAAGTAGGTTTTTCTCAGTACAGTTTTTCTTAAAAATGGCAAAATGTCCAGAGGCTGCTATCACATCAAAATGAGTCACATTTAGACCGAGAGGGAAATGCTTCTTACAGATGAATAGCGACAAAGCATCCACAGGAAAAAAAAAAAGAGAGAGAGATAAAAATAGCTTGCTTTTGCTGTCAATTGAACTTCATGCCTTAGGTACCTAGAGGGGGGAAAAAAGTAAGATTTGCAAGCTTCCAGATGTGTGCTGATTCACAAATGCGGTTGCCAGCTCAGTGTGCCGATGGCTCTCCCCGTTAAACGTGGATCCAGGTCCTCGCATTGAATCTTTCTGTGGGATATCAACGAGTTTAGATTTCTTTGAGCTGAATTATGGGGCTGGAGAAGACTCCTGCGAGTCCCCTGGACTGCAAGGCGATCCAACCGGTCAGTCCTGGAGGAGATCAACCCCGACTGCTCTTGAGAAGGCCAGATCCTGAAGTTCAAACTCAAGTACTTTGGCCACCCAATGAGAAGGAAGGACTCCCTGGAGAAGAGCCTGATGCTGGGAAAGATGGAGGGCAAGAGAAGAAGGGGATGACAGAGAGGGAGGTGGCTGGATGGAGTGGGACTTCGTCCTCCGTACTCGAAGTTACCTGAGGTCTTCTACCATCTCCTGTCCTTCCGGACCTCCTCTAGTTGGGACTGACGAGAACTCTTCCGGTCTAGGACTTCAACTTTGAGTTCATGAAGCCGGTGGATTACTCTTCCTTCCTGAGGGACCTCTTCTCGGACTACGACCCTTTCTACCTCCCGTTCTGAAGAAGGGGACGACAGAGAAGGAGGTGGCTGGATGGAGTCCCTGAAGCAGAAGGTGTGAGCTTCAATGGACTCCAGAAGATGACAGAGGACAGGAAGGCCTGGAGGAACGTGGTCCATGGGGTCGCGATGGATCGGACACGACTTCTCAACTAACAACAACAATACATGTTGGAAACTGTCTAGGTCAGGGCTGTTCCAGTCGTGGCAAGTTTGAGACCTGAGGACTCCACCTGCCAGAATCCCCCAGCCAGCGGTGGAAGTCCACAAGTCTTCAAATTGCCAAGATTGGATATTCCTGGTGTTCATGAATTGTCTTCGAATGCCGTGTTTTGTTTTCATTTCTGTCTTAAGAGGAGAGAAAAATCAAATTCCTGAACAAATTCAGGAAACGTTCCCGTCCCGGTGGGAATATTGGCTTTTCCTCTGTTGACATAATTATAATAGCTAATTAAGGCAGATTGGGCCAAAGGTGCTTTTTTTTTTTCTTCCCCAAAAGGCAATTGTACTTTCTCGGATTTTTTTTTCTTTGAAAGCGTTTCGCTTCTCTTCCGAGAAGCTTCCTCAGTTCAAAATAAGAAGCTCCTTGGATGAGAGGTGAAATGTTTTTAAGGGGGGGGGGGATTAAGAAAGTCCTGTTGCTTTTCAGAAAAGCACTTCTGGGAACAAATATAACAACAACAACAACAACAACAATAATAATAATAATAATAGTTGGAAGGGACCTTGGAGGTCATCTGGTCCAACCCCCTGCTCAGGCAGGAAACCCTATACCATTTCAGACAAATGGCTGTCCAGTCTCTTCTTAAAGACTTCCAGTGTTGGAGCATTCACAGCTTCTGGAAGCAGGTTGTTCCACTGGTTAATTGTTCTCACTGTCAGGAAGTTTCTCCTTAGTTCCAGGTTGCTTCTCTCTTTGGTCAGTTGCCACCCGTTGCTTCTTGTCCTGCCTTCAGGCGCTTTGGAGAAGAGCTTGACTCCCTCTTCTTTGGGGCAGTCCCTGAGATATTGGAAGGCTGCTATCATGTCCCCCCTTGTCCTTCTCCTCATTAAACTAGACATCCCCAATTCCAGCAACCGTTCCTTACATGCTTTAGCCTCCAGTCCCCTAATCATCTTTGTTGCTCTTCTCTGTACTCTTTCTAGAGTCTCAGCATCTTTTTTACATCGCGGTGACCAAAACTGGATGCCGTATTCCAAGTGTGGCCTTACCAAGGCCTTGTAAAGTGGAATTAACCCTTCACATAATCGTGATTCCATCCCTCTGTTAATGCAGCCTAGCACTGTGTTGGCTTTTTTGGCAGCTTCAGCACACGGCTGGCTCCCATTTAAATGATTGTCCACTAGGACTCCGAGATATGACTTGGATGATTGAGAATCTCCATAAAGGGATGACATGATACAAGTAGTTCTCGAGTTACAGCAGACCATTCAAAGTTACAACTGACTTACGCCCTTTTTTCACACTTAACGACCGTTGCAGCATCGCCAGGGTCACATGATCAAAATCCAGATCCTTTGCAAGTGATTCATATTTATGACGGTTGCACTGTCCGGGGTCAAGTGATCCTCCCTTTTGCGATCTTCTGACAAGCAAAGTCCATGGGGAATCCAGGTTCACTTAACAACCGTGTTACTAGCTGAACGAATGCAATGATTCTGTCATGCCTCCGTCGGAGCCTGAATATGCGGAGGAAAGTGAGCTGGAACGGGACCCTATGGAGGTCGAGGGAGAGGTGTCTGTGGCTTCAGAGGAATGTGGGGAAGAGCAGGCCGAGGCAGGCCAGGGCCCTTCAAGAGTGGGACAAGATGAACAGGAGAGGCAGAGTTCAGGCGATGAGCAACGGCCACCCCCTCCTGATCCTAGAGCACGGAGAGTGGAGAGAAGGAGGGAACAACGCAGGCAGGCTCAACTACTCGGGAGGAGAGCATCCTGCCCCTCTCCACAAGGCACACCTGGAGAATGAGACTTAAGCAGACCCTGTGGGGAGAGGCATTTGTCAGGAACAAATGCTGATTCCTTGGAGTGTTGTGTGTATTGTTGCTGATCTCTTGTTCTGTGACTTCTGCTTGGAAACCCGGAAACTCTGACCATTGGACTGGCTGACAACATTGCTTGGATGTTCAAAGATCTCAGACTATATTGTGGCTTCCCTTTTGAAACTGCTCAGGCAAGCGTGTCTTCACACAGACTCATTAGGTTTATGATGTACGTGTCATTCCTTGTTATCTCCGTGACCTTGAGTAAATTCCTCTCCTAATCAGACGATATATGAAACTCCTTGCAGCCAGAGGTGTGTGTGTCTTACTTTGTTCTGGGGCTTGCCAGAAACGTGGGAACATTTGGGGAAAATTTGGAGCAATTAAAGGATGGGTTGAATTGCCAGCTGACTGCATTGCCTCGCTGCTGTGCCCTGGGTCATCACAGATTCACTGAACAGCCGTGGCAAGGCAAGGTGTCCAATGGGGCAAAAAACTCACTTTAACAAACGTTTCATTTAGCCACATAAATTTTGGGGCTCCGTTGCGGTCGTAACTGGAGGACTTATCAGTTGCGGCTACAGCGTTGCTCTTTCGTAGCAAACTTTCCAGTTCGGCTGATATTTGAGAGGAGCAGACAAAATTGCGTTGAATTTCCTTTATTCCTTTTCCGTTCCCAGCTTGCACCATCTGTCTGGCGATGCTGGGCTGCTTAATAAGACATTAATCTCACCCAGCTGGGTTTACCCCCCAGATTTGAAGCCAATGCATGCTTAACCCGTCAGCTGTGCAAGCCACAGAAAACAGATTTGGTTCCTGTATATATATATTTTTTGTAATCCCTTCCATTTTCATCCCAGTTTTGCTTCTCTGTGGGAGAAAGACTCTCGGCCGCCCCAGCGGTAATGAAGCATCGCATTCCCTGGTCGTTAATGCTGCGGCTACTTAGCTTTAAACTCTGATTCCACATCCTAGTTAATGACAGTTGATTAGCGGCGGTGCATCCGTGTGGCGTCAGGAAGGGCCTCCGGGCAGAAAACACTTGCCTTACCCCCAGAAATCGTGGGCGCTCCATCACTGGAGATTTTTAAGGAGAGACTAGGACAGTGGTGGCGAACCTATGGCACGCGTGCCAGAGGCGGCATGCAGAGCCCACTCTGTGGGCACGCATGCCATGCCCCTGAGATGGCAACCATCCCTCTTCAACCAGCTGCCCACTAACTCGCCGAGGTCCCACGTGGCCGGATGCATCCCAGCACGGCTGGTTTCCCTCCGCCCCCGCGTCCCATCCCTCCTGGCCTCGCATGCGCTCCTTTTCCCGGGCACAACCCACTGCACCACCTCCTCAGCTGTCGGCCGGCCATCCAGCTCAGAGGCGGCTTCTCTGAACTGCTGGCGGTGGGCTGCGGAGCCCCAGAGTGCGCCAATCGAGGGGCCGGCAGGCTGTGGCTGCTGACGGACACTGTCGGCCCCCATGCGCTCGTTGGCCTCTGTGTGCGGGGCCCGACAGTGTTAGACAGCGGACGCCCCTGCCTCGCCTTGCCCGGCGACAATGGCACCCTCGGCCTGCCTTGCCTTACCCTGCAGGACGAGCCTCCTGCCCACCGCCCCACCTGCCAGAGACCCCCTGGATCTCCCCCTATCCTTTCCGGCCCCCACAGGTGTCCCTCCCCATGAACAACATCGAGGTGACCGCGCCCACCTTGGCCACACCCACCCAGTCTGCCAGGACCCCCACAACCACGCCCACCCTGTGGGCCACGCCCACCTGGCCCCCGGCGATAAATAAGTGGGTTTGGGGTTGCAGTTTGGGCACTCGGTCTCTAGAAAGTTCGCCATCGCTGCCCTATATCAGTGATGGCGAACCTTTTCGAGACCGAGGGCCCAAACTGCAACCCAAAACCCACTTAGGCATCGTCGGGTGCCGGGTGGGCGTGGCTCATTGGGTGGGTGTGGCCAATTGGGTGGGCGTGGCTGCGGTGGTAACCGCAGACTGGGTGGGACTAAAAAGTTCAATCAATCAATTCCAACTTTGCAAGATCTTTTTTTCCCCTGTGAGAAGTTGAAATTGACTGATTGATTGAACCTTTTTTTTTTGTACACGGCGGTGGAGGCCTAAAGCAAAAAGGTTTTATAAAACCCAGCTGAAGGCCTAGGACTGGGGCGACGGTGCGCGTGCCCACAGAGAGGGCTCTGAGTGCCGCCTCTGGCACCCGTGCCATAGGTTCTCCACCACTGATATAGGGAGTCCTCTACGGGCGTTGAAGGCCGTTGGAGGGCATCAGACTGGGAAAGATTTCTTCTGCCAAGCATTGCACGTTTTGAAAGAACCGTCTCTCGTCTTTCACAGGGGAAGATAAAGGAAATTAAATTCATTTCTCATTAACAGGCACAATCCCTGGCCTCCTCCTTATCTACCCGCCAGCTCTTGAGGATCTGCCGGCGTCTATCTCATTATCCGGATGAAAGTCTCCACCACGCTATCAATAAAGCTTGTCTTTCAAGGTAGGATTTTTTTTGGAAGTGTTTTCTTTTGGGCAGGCGTTTTTTTTGTTTTTTAATCTCAAGTCTGGAAGTCTGTCATTAATTTCCTCGTTGTTTGGAAGATATGGACAAGAAACGTTTTTTCAGTTGGCTGTGATTCATCTCAACCTCCAGGATGCCCTCGACCGCAGTTGCATCAAAACAATTGTGTCAGCTTATAACTTAAAGTATAGTATAAAATATGAAAATGCAAAAGCAAGTAGTAGGGAATATAGAATAGAATAGAATAGAATAGAATAGAATAGAATAGAATAGAATAGAATAGAATAGAATAGAAAAAATATGGAATGGAATGGAATAGAGAAGAAGAGAAGAGAAGAGAAGAGAAGAGAAGAGAAAAAATATGGAATGGAATAGAATAAAATAGAATAGAATAGAATAGAATAGAATAGAATAGAATAGAATAGAATAGAATAGAAAAAATATGGAATGGAATGGAATAGAGAAGAGGAGAAGAGAAGAGAAGAGAAGAGAAGAGAAAATATGGAATGGAATGGAATAGAATAGAATAGCAGAGTTGGAAGGGACTTTGGAGGTCATCTAGTCCAACCCCCTGCTCAGACAGGAAACCCTGTACCATTTCAGACAAATGGCTGTCCAGTCTCTTCTTAAAAACTTCCAGTGTTGGAGCATTCACCGCTTCTGGAGGCAGGTTGTTCCACTGGTTAATTGTTCTCACTGTCAGGAAGTTTCTCCTTAGTTCCAGGTTGCTTCTCTCCTTGATTAGTTTCCATCCGTTGCTTCTTGTCCTGCCTTCAGGCGCTTTGGAGAACAGCTTGACTCCCTCTTCTTTGGGGCAGCCCCTGAGATACTGGAAGACTGCTATCCTGTCCCCCCTCGTCCTTCTCTTCATTAAACTAGACATACCCAATTCCAGCAGCCTTTCCTTATATGTTTTAGCCTCCAGTCCCCTGATCATCTTTGTTGCTCTTCTCTGCACTCTTTCTAGAGTCTCAATATCTTTTTTACATCGTGGTGACCAAAACTGGACTCAGTATTCCAAGTGTGGCCTTACCAAGGCCTTGTAAAGCGGCATTAACACTTCACGTGATCTTGATTCTATCCCTCTGTTAATGCAGCCCAGCACTGTGTTGGCTTTTTTGGCAGCTGCAGCACACGGCTGGCAAGATCACTATAGGATCTGGTCACCTCTAAGAAGTCTACAGAACAGACTTTTTTCTCTCTGTGAAATAACCTCCCCCTTTTTTTCTTGTGGTATCTAGGTTTTTACCCAACCTCGCCAAATCTGCCTTACATAAAAACCTGCTGGATGCCGAGATCGAATCAAGCTCTGCCGATATCCAGAAAACGGAGGGAAGAGACTATAGCTGTAAGCTCTTGGTATTTTTCTTTCTTTTCTTTTTTTCCTGTTAAATTAAATTGTACGCGTGCAAACTGGGCCCGATTCTGTCCTACTTCTAACTCGGGAATCTTGTTTCACCCATTAGCAACCAAAAGGTTCTGAGGCTTCCTAGGGACTTGCTTCATTTTTTTTAGAGTACTGTAATTTGGTTAGTGTCATGCCAGCTGCAATTTTTGCAGATTTCTATGCCAGGAAATTCCATAACTGGGATTGCAAGGAAAGTATAGTATAAAATACGAAAATGCAAAAGCAAGTAGTAGGGAACAAATGTAAGGTGAAGGGAGAATAGAATGGGATGGGATGGGATGGGATGGGATGGGATGGGATGGGATGGGATGGAATGGAATGGAATGGAATGGAATAGAATAGAATAGAATAGAAAATATAGAATAGAATAGAAAATATAGAATAGAATAGAATAGAATAGAATCGAAAATATAGAATAGCATAGGATAGGATAGGATAGAATAGAATAGAATAGAAAATATAGAATAGGATAGGATAGAATAGAATAGAATAGAATAGAATAGAATAGAATAGAATAGAATAGAATAGAATAGAAAATATAAAATGGAATAGAATAGAATAGAATAGAAAATATAGAATAGCATAGGATAGAATAGAATAGGATAGAATAGAATAGAATAGAATAGAATAGAAAAAATAGAATAGAATAGAATAGAATAGAATAGAAAATATAGAATAGAATAGAATAGAAAATATAGAATAGAATAGGATAGGATAGGATAGGATAGGATAGGATAGGATAGGATAGAATAGAACAAATCACGGTTACATCTTTGTTTTCTAAAAGACCCAGAGTTAGGTAGACAAACATCAAGCTAATATCTAAAAGCAAACAAAGCAGACACCAAAATGCATCTACCGTATTTCCCCCCAAATAAGACCTGGTCTTAAATTAATTAAGCATTAGGGCTTATTTTCCGGTTAGGGCTTAAATACAATACTAAATGCTTCAGTCTGGCTGACAATCTTAACTGGGGCTTATTTTTTGGGTGGGCATCCTGAAAAATCATGCTAGGGCTTATTTTTCGGCGGGGTCTTATATTTGGGAGAAACACAGTATAGCCAAGTCCCATTTCAAAAGCCACTTTCGCAGTCTTTCTCAGAGGACTTTCCAAAATGAAGTATTTCAGTGGCATTTCGAATGCCAAGAGCTGTGCCCATCTGGGCAGAAAGTCACCATCCTTGATTTGTGTGCACATCCAGGTGAAATCAAGTCAGGAGTCCTCAGGATTGGAAGTGTCCAAATTCCGGTTTACAACCCCGACGAGAGCATGAAAGTGCCTGACGTTCTTTTCTATGAAAATACTCAAGTAAGTATCCCTTTGATCTCCTGCCCTTTCAGGTGGAGGGAGACCAAGCCTCTGGGCTGACTTTTGAAGATGGGCTCTCAGTCAGAGTCTCTCCCCAAAATGGGCATATTTGGCCTTTTGAGATCATGTTGTGGGCATCTACAAAATGGCTATTGGGTTAGAAGCTGGCCTGTTGCGAAGGGGTGAGTGTGCCATATTAGGATATAGAATGGAATGGAATGGAATGGAATGGAATAGAATAGAATAGAATAGAATAGAATTTGAATTAGAATTGAATTAGAATTGAATTAGAATTAGAATGGAATAGAGAATAGAATAGAATAGAATAGAATAGAATAGAATAGAATAGAATAGAATAGAATAGAATAGAATAAGTGGAATTTTCCTTCAATGGGATTTTTCCATGTATTTTGCCAGGAAACATAGATAGGGCAGCCTAGAAAAGTCAGTGCCCTCCTAACCATACCCAAGCACTCCAAGTTTCTTGGCGATGTCCATTTTGCTCTACGAGTTCATGGTGACCTAACCCTAACCCTAAGTGGAATTTTCCTCCAGTGGGATTTTCCCATGAATTTTGCCAGGAAACATAGATAGGGCAGCCTAGAAAAGTCAGTGCCCTCCTAACCATACCCAAGCATTCAGAGTTTGTTGGCAATGTCCATTTTGCTCTGTGAGTTCATGGTGACCTAACCCTAACCCTAAGTGGAATTTTCCTCCAATGGGATTTTCCCATGTATTTTGCCAGGAAACATAGATAGGGCAGCCTAGAAAAGTCAGCGCACTCCTAACCATACCCAAGCACTCCAAGTTTGTTGACGGTGTCCATTTTGCTCTACGAGTTCATGCTTTTCCCAAGTCAAGAGGTTTTGCATTTCTTTCCGTTGTGTGTTGTGAGCTATATTTAGCTCAATTCTGGAACCTATCCAAGATTATTGGGTGCATCATTGCTGCCTTCTTAGTTCTTGTGTGTGTGAATGATCTGGAAAGTGTGTTCCGTTTTAAACCCAAAACAAGCGTATTGTGTTCTTGGGGTTCTGATGGGCCAATCTAGAGCAGATCCTGGTTCAGGAGAAATGAAACGTAAGAACATTTTTGTTGTTTCAGACATTAGGGTTCTGGACCAAGGTATATAGTCATCTTTATTTCTTCTAAACCCTTCAGCATCTCCCAGTGCAGCATTACTACTGGTCTGCTCACCCCCTAGGCTTCAAAGGCACCTTCCTTTCTCTCCCTTCTGTTGCTGTCCCAAGGAGGAGAAAGCGGAGAGGGGGGTCCTTGGTGCTCTCTGAGCTTGGTGGTTTTCTTACAGACATTTCATGACCCAACTAGGTAACATTATCAGTGCTAGAAGGGTTTGGCTTTGTGGAAATGATGATGATGAGGATGAGGAGGAGGAGGAGGAGTGTGAGGTCCTTGGTGCTCTCTGAGCTTGGGGGTTTTCTTGCAGACATTTCATGACCCAACTAGGGAACGTCATCAGTGCTAGAAGGGAAAGGATGAGGAAGAGGACTGCAGAGTCCTTAGTTGTCTCTGAGCTTGGTTGTTTTCTTGCAGATGTTTCATAACTCAGCTAGGTAACATCATCAGTGCTAGAAGGGAGGAGGAGGAGGAGGAGGAGGAGGAGGAGGAGAATGACTGTGGGGTCCTTGGTGCTCTCTGAGCTTGGTGGTTTTCTTGCAGATGTTTCGTGATTCAACTAGGTAACATCATCAGTGCTAGGAGAAAGTGGGGTTTATTGGAGAGGAGGGAGGGGGAAGAGGAGGAGGGGGCGACTGTGGGGTCCTTGGTGCTCTCTGAGCTTGTTTATTTTCTTCCTGACATTTTATGACCCAACTAGGTTACATCATGAGTGCTAGCTAGGACTCCCTTGTAGCACTGATGATGTTACCTAGTTGGGTAATGAAACATCTGCAAGAAAACCACCAAGCTCAGAGAACACCAAGGACCCCACAGCCCCCCCTCTCCTCTTCCTCCTCCTCTCCCAAAAAAAACACTTCCTCCCAGCACTGATGATGTTGGCCAGTTGGGTCATGAAACGTCTGCAAGAAAACCACCAAGCTCAGAGAGCACCAAGGACCCCTCATCGTAATGATTCTCCGAGGAGTATAATTCTGTGTGGCTGACTCAGAAGAATCACGACAGCATTAATACTTCAGTGTTTTCACTCACTTATTTTCTTCCCAATTTTAAAACATGGCTTTCTTTTCCGCGTTAGCATATGATGGTGATGGAAGACATGTTAAAAGACTTTTTGCTCGGAGAGCATCTTCTTTTAGTGGGCAACCAGGTAAGAGAAATCACATTTTTTTTTCTCTATCCAATCCCTTTTGCACATTTAAATATTCAAAGCTCTCTATCTGTTCTGCCAACGAGTCAATTTCCCTGAAATTGTAAGCGTGACTTCCGAATACGGGCAGCCCTCAATTTAACAACGGTCCATTTAGGGGCCGTTCAAAGTTACCGCGGCATTGGAAAAAAAAAAGTGACGTACGACCGTTTTCACACTTACGACCGTTGCGGCATCCCCTGATCAAAATTCAGACGCTTGGCCCCTGACTCGTACTTATGACGGTCGCAGCGACCCGGGGTCACGTGACCCTCTTTTGCGACCTTCTGACAGGCAAAGTCAATGGGGAAGCCAATTCCACTTAACATCCACATTACTAACTTAACAACTGCAGTTGTTAAGGAAGGTTGTAAAACGGGGGAAAAGTCCCTTTTTCGCTGAGCAACAGGAATTTTGGGATCAGATAATAGATGGGGAAGAAATGGAGGCAGTGACAGAATTTATCTTCCTGGGCTCCAAGATCACCTCAGATGGGGACTGCAGCCAAGAAATTAAAAGACGCTTGCTCCTGGGGAGGAAAACTATGGCAAATCTAGACAGCACACTAAAGAGCAGAGACATCCCCCTGCCAACAAAAGTGCGCATAGTCAAGGCCATGGTTTTCCCAGTTGCAATGTATGGCTGTGAAAGTTGGACCATAAGAAAGGCTGAGCGCCAAAGAATGGAGGCCTTTGAACTCTGGTGCTGGAGAAGACTCCTGCGAATCCCCTGGACTGCCAGGCCATCAAACCGGTCAGTCCTAGAGGAGATCAACCCCTTTAGAAGGCCAGATCCGGAAGTTGAAACTCAAGTACTTTGGCCACCTAATGAGAAGGAAGGACTCACTGGAGAAGAGCCTAATGCTGGGAAAGATGGAGGGCAAGAGAAGAAGGGGACGACAGAGAAGGAGGTGGCTGAATGGAGTCCCTGAAGCAGGAGGCGTGAGCTTCAATGGACTCCAGAAGATGGTAGAGGACAGGAAGACCTGGAGGAGATCAACCCTGACTGCTCTTTAGAAGGCCAGATCCTGAAGTTGAAACTCAAGTCCTTTGGCCACCTAATGAGAAGAAGGAAGGACTCACTGGAGAAGAGCCTAATGCTGGGAAAGATGGAGGGCAAGAGAAGAACGGGATGACAGAGAAGGAGGTGGCTGGAGGGAGTCCCTGAAGCAGGAGGCGTGAGCTTCAATGGACTCCAGAAGATGGTGGAGGACAGGAAGGCCTGGAGGAACGTTGTCCATGGGGTCGGGATGGGTCGGACACGACTTTGCAACTAACAACAACAACAAGCCGAGGACTATCTGCATGTAGCCGTGAGGCGTTACGGCCGTTAACTCTACAGCAAATCAACCTTCCCTTTTGATTTAAAAATGATGCAATTAAAGCTGTTTTGTTTGCAAGGAGTTCAGTGAGTTAATACTGGTTTTAAGTGGGATGTAGCCTGATCATCATCCTTTTTGTATTTACCTGGGATGTCGTGGCCTGGAGTTTTAGTGCCAGAAACTGAGGGCGATTCTCATTTTTAGCTGGCAAATTGAGCTCCTTCGTAGAGACTGTTCCACCCTATCTTCTCCTCTAAAATATCCCTCATTGTGGTTGCGTTGTTGTTGCAGGGTGTGGGGAAAAATAAAGTGGTCGACAGATTCCTCCAGCTGTTAAATCGACCCAGAGAATATTTGCAGCTGCACAGGTGAGCCAAACTTTGGTGGGTGGGATTCTTGCTGTCAACGTTTGGAGTTAGGCAAAAGGCTTTTTTTAAAAAAATATTCATTTATCTTTCATATTTCTTAACTGCCCACTCTTTCAGAGTAGGGCTCTGTTTTCTCTTCAGATTGTGTGTATACATACACAGTTTGAAGAATAATCAGAGCCCCTCTCTGAGGGAGTGGGCAGTTAAGAAATATGAAAGATAAATCAAGGTTAAAAAGATTTTTAGAAAACTATTATATATACAGTATAATGTGAAGAGAAATCGGAGCCCCTCTCCGAGAGAGTGGGCAGTTAAGAAATATGAAAGATAAATAAAGGTTAAAATATTTTATAAAACTATCACATATATAATGTGAAGAGAAATCAGAGCCCCTCTCCGAGGGAGTGGGCAGTTAAGAAATATGAAAGATCAATAAAGGTTAAAAATATTTTAGGAAACTACTATATATATAATCCGAAGAAAAACCAGAAATGTCAAATTAACTCAAGCAGTGGCATATAAAGAAAACTTAAATAAAATGTTTTACAGATGGCATAGGACACCAGTGAGATTAGCAAAAATGTTTAAAAATACTTCCAATAAGTGTTGGAAATGCAAACAAAGACCAGGTAAGGTACTTATTACCATATCTGGTGGACGTTCCCTAAAGCAAAAAGTTTTTGGTAAAAATACATTTATGGTTGTAGAAAATGACTAAAAAAACAAATAGACTTTAAGCCGGAATTATTTTAGTTAGGAATAATAGGAGCAAACTACGAGAAAGATTGTATATACTTAATTTTACTCGTACTAACTGTAGCAAGAATTGTATTTGTCCAACATTGGAAAAATTAAAATTTGCCAACTGAAGAAGAACTAATTAAGAAAATTTTAGAGTGTGCAGAAATGGATAGATTGACTTTAAAGAGAAAAGAGAAAGAAGACTCGGTCTATTTTAGAACGTGGGATAATTTCTATCAATGGCTAGAAAAACGAGTTAGAAAGAAATGTGATATGTAACTTTGAATATATATTAGCAAGAAAAAGACCATCAAGTGATTAATTAACATATTGTTTATGATAATTAACTATTGTCTATTATTTTTTGTTAAATACATGAACCCCAACATTATGCTGTTAATATATATATGTATGAAAACTATTACATATATAATGTGAAGAGAAATCGGAGCCCCTCTCTGAGGGAGTGGGCAGCTAAGAAATATGAAAGATAAATAAAGGTTAAAAATATTTTAGAAAACTATTACATATATAATGTGAAGAGAAATTGGAGCCCCTCTCTGAGGGAGTGGGCAGTTAAGAAATATGAAAGATAAATAAAGGTTAAAATATTTTAGAAAACTATTACATATATAATGTGAAGAGAAATCGGAGCCCCTCTCTGAGGGAGTGGGCAGTTAAGAAATATGAAAGATAAATAAAGGTTAAAAATATTTTAGAAAACTATTACATATATAATGTGAAGAGAAATCGGAGCCCCTCTCTGAGGGAGTGGGCAGTTAAGAAATATGAAAGATAAATAAAGGTTAAAATATTTTAGAAAACTATTACATATATAATGTGAAGAGAAATCGGAGCCCCTCTCTGAGGGAGTGGGCAGTTAAGAAATATGAAAGATAAATAAAGGTTAAAATATTTTAGAAAACTATTACATATATAATGTCAAGAGACACAGTGCCCCTCTCTGAGGGAGTGGGCAGTTGAGAAATATAAAAAGATAAATAAAGGTTAAAAATATTTTAGGAATCTATTACACATATTATGTGAAGAGAAACCAGAATGTCTCTCTGAGGGATAGACCAATATGAAATATAAATAAACATTAAACATATTTTAAAAAACTATTTTTATATACATACATATACATACACACAAACACACACACACGCACACAATCTGAAGAGAAACCAGAGGCCCCCCTCTGAGGAATTGAGGAGTTATATATACAAGTAGTCCTTGACTTACAAGCATTCGCTTAGTGACCGTTCAAAGTTACAACGGCACTGAAAAATGGGACTTAACGACCATATTTCACTCTTATGACCGTTGCAATATCCCCACGGTCACCTGATCAAAATTCAGACCGTTGGCAACTGGCATGTACTTACGACAGTTCGTTTTACGCAGGGAGTTGCTTAACAACTGTGGCAAAATAGCACTAGCAATAGCACTTATATACCGCTTCACAGTGCTTTTTTACAGCCCATCTCTAAGCGGTTTAAAGAGTCAGCATATGAGCCCCCAACCATCTGGGTCCTCATTTTTACCGACCTCGGAAGGACGGAAGGCTGAGTCCACCTTGAGCCAGTCAGGTTCGAACTTCCTGGCGACGGGCAGAGTCAGCCTGCAATGCTGCAATACTCCGTTAACAACGGCGGCCTTGCTTAGCAGTGGAGATTCTGGCCCCCATTGTTGCAAGCCGGGGGCTACCTGTACTACAGATCCACTAAGGCACTTAGATTCCTCCAACTGGAATCAAAACGCCAGCTTGGATGTTAGGGCTTTAAGTGGCCCCTGCTGGCCTTTGGAGAAGGGAACGCTCGGCGACCGGCAAAAATGATTAAAAGAGAAGAAAAAATATATGTTTATTTAAATTTTTTGTTTAAATAAACATAAATTTAAATAAACATAAACATATGCTGCCTCCCGCTGTGAATCAGGGAGTAGAAAATAGCACAGCATGTTTGCAAATGCAACTTCCCCCTCCCTCCCTCCCCCCCCACTTTTCCCCAATGTACTGACGCGGTCAGCTGGGATGCATGAATAGAAGCCTGTCCGTGATTTGCCGCCCTAGGGACACCACCGTGCAGAGCCTGACGCTTCAGCCGTCCGTGAAAGAGGGCCTGATTGTGTACGAGGACTCTCCACTCGTAAGTCTCTTGCAAGGGGCGACTGGCTTGCCGATTCCGTCGTTAAAATCTGAGAGGACCTATGCGCTTGTGGGGCAGGCCCCTCTGGGTGGAGCCCCTGATAAATCCAGGGTTCACATTGTGTCCTAAATAAATTAGGTTATTATTGTAATTTATTAGATAGATAGATAGATAGATAGATAGATAGATAGATAGATAGATAGATAGATAGATAGATAGATAGATAGATAGATAGATAGATAGATAGATAGAGGTGGGTGGGTGGGTGGGTGGGCGGGCGGACGGACGGACGGACGGACGGACGGACGGATGGATGGATGGATAAAAAAGGATGGGTGGATGGGTGAGTGGATGGATGGATGGATGGATGGATAGATAAAGAGGATGGGTGGATGGGGGATGGATGGATGGATGGATAGGTAGGTAGGTAGGTGAGTGGGTGGGTGGGTAGGTGGATGGATGGATAAAAAAGGATGGGTGGATGGGTGAGTGGATGGATAGATGGATGAATGGATGGATAGATAAAGGATGGGTGGATGGGGATAGATAGATAGATAGATAGATAGATAGATAGATAGATAGATAGATAGATAGATAGATAGATAGATAGATAGATAGATAGATAGATAATAGATAGATAGATAGATAGATAAGACGATAGGTAGATGTGGGATGGATAGAAAGAAAAAGAGAAAGAAAGAAAAAGAAAGAAAGAAAAAGAAAGAAAGAAAAAGAAAGAAAGAAAGAAAAGAGGATAGGTGGATGGGGGATGGGTGGATAAATAGACAGACAGACAGACAGTTTTCTTCTGATCCACATTCATCAAATTTGTGAAATAGATACTGTATTTTTCTTTCTTTTTGGGGATGACCTGGGAATATCCTTTGCTTTGCTTGCCTTGTCCATAATAATAATAAAAGTAGCCTTCATATCAGAATGGGAACCCTCTGTGTTGCATCTAGGCTGGAAACACTAGATTTCTAATATTAGTAATATTATCTTTTTTCCCCGCCAACGTTTGTCTCATCCCAATCATTTCTTTCTAGGTGAAAGCTGTCAAAAAGGGGCACATCCTCATGATTGACGAGGCAGACAAGGCACCCACCAACGTCACCTGCATTTTGAAAACTTTGGTGGAGAGCGGAGAGATGATTCTGTCCGACGGGAGACGCATTGTTTCTAGTAAGCCGTCCCAGAGGGAAAGTCTTCCAGTAGCTGACTTCCTTACGGATTAATAAATTAAGAGCTGTTAATAACATAACTGGAGATGTGATTTTCTTCAGAGAAATGGAGGGCTTTAGTTATTAATTAATATTAATTTATAGTATTGCGCGTCAGTGCATCAAGACTGGTTGCCGTGTTGTTACACGGACCCCGATTCCTGTTGGACGTTTGCTATTCTTTGATAAGCGAGTCATTTCTTTCCGGAATAAAGTTTTAATCAGATCGAAAAAGGCTGATTTTGTTTGTTTTAACCTTCCAGATGCTGCTGCTGCAGATGGGAGAAAAAATGTCATAGTAATGCATCCGGATTTTAGGATGATTGTTTTAGCAAACAGGCCGGGATTCCCTTTCTTGGGAAATGACTTTTTTGGAACCCTTGGTAAGTCACACACACTTGATTAAAAGCTTCTATTTTATGGTCCTGTCTAGGAAAAGATGCTATTTTCGTTTGACCAGTCTGGTTGTTGGGGGGGGGGAACCCCAAAGAAGCTACCAGTTTAGGTGTATTAAAACCGTTTCTTTATTTTAGACTCTCTTACTCCTTTGCTGTTTGGGAAAAGAAATATGTATTTTGGGCCGTGCGTAATTTTCCCTAGAAATTTAAAATAATAATAATAATAATAATAATAATAATAATAATAATAATAATAATAATAATAATAATAATAATAATGTGAGTAAAAAAAAAATAAGCTCCATTCTGAAGGGCTAGTAGTAGCGTAGTAAGGAAGCTAAGCTTACACCTGTTGTTTTCTTCAAAATTTTAAAATATGTATTTTAGTCCAGGCATAATTTTCCCTTGAAAATTATGTATGTAAGGGTGTAGGTCTATACCAGGGGTAGGCAACCTTGGCTCTTTTATGACTGGTGGACTTCAACTCCCAGAATTCCTGAGCCAGCCACGCTGAGGGGAAAGGGAGAGGTTTCCAAGCTGAGCCATGCTGGCTCAGGAATTCTGGGAGATGAAGTCCACGAGTCATGAGGGGGCCATAGTTCCCCCATGCTGGCTGAGGAATTCTGGGAGTTGAAGTCCACAAATCATGAGGGGGCCATAGTTCCCCCATGCTGGCTGAGGAATTCTGGGAGTTGAAGTCCACGAGTCATGAGGGGGCCATAGTTCCCCCATGCTGGCTGAGGAATTCTGGGAGTTGAAGTCCACAAGTCATGAGGGGGCCATAGTTCCCCCATGCTGGCTGAGGAATTCTGGGAGTTGAAGTCCACGAGTCATAAAAGAGCCCAAGTTGCCTACCCCTGGTCTATACATATGTTGCATATAAATGTGGGTTATGCATGTGTACACTTTGAGAGCAAGCACCTAAATTTCATTTTTAATGTGTGCCGTTGTGCCCCCAGGAATAAATGACAATAAAGGTTACCTAATCTAACAATGTTTTTCCCCAAAAAATGAATGTGGGTAAAAAAATAAGCTCCTTTCTGAAGGGCTAGTAGTAGCGTAGTAAGCAAGCTAAGCTTAAACCTCTTGTGTTTTCTTCAAAAATTTAAAATATTTCGCAGCACCCCTGTGAGTTCACTCTAGCACACCAGAGTGCAAAGTCTTCTTCTTTATTAAGTACTGCAAATGAATTGAGGCCTTTGAACTCTGGTGCTGGAGAAGATTCCTGCGAGTCCCCTGGACTGCAAGGCGATCAAACCAGTCAGTCCTAGAGGAGATCAACCCCGACTGCTCTTGAGAAGGCCAGATCCTGAAGTTGGAACTCAAGTACTTTGGCCACCTAATGAGAAGGAAGGACTCACTGGAGAAGGGCCTAATGGTGGGAAAGATGGAGGGCAAGAGAAGAAGGGGACGACAGAGAAGAAGGTGGCTGGATGGAGTCCCTGAAGCAGGAGGCGGGAGCTTCAATGGACTCCAGAAGATGGTAGAGGACAGGAAGGCCTGGAGGAACGTTGTCCATGAGGTCGCGATAGGTCGGACACGACTTCGCCACTGACAAACAAATGAATTAACCTATTGGACGCCATTTTCTCCTTTCTTGTTCTTGCCTCTTCCAGGAGACATATTTAGCTGTCATGCAGTTGATAACCCAAAACCAAACTCAGAACTAGCCATGCTTCGACAGTACGGGCCCGATGTCCCGGATTCAGTTCTCCAGAAACTGGTAGCAGCTTTTGGAGAGCTGCGAAGTTTGGCCGACCAAGGAATTATCAATTATCCTTACTCGACTCGAGAAGTGGTGAACATCGTCAAGCATTTGCAGGTAGTGTATGACTGTTCCTAATACTGGACTGTTCACTAATCAATTATTATTTGACTTTAAAGGCTATTTTTAACCTTTGGAAAGCCTGGCGTGTTTCAGAAGAGGTTTCTAAGGGTGCTTTTGCCTTTGATGTCAGCAAATCTTAAAGAAACTTGTCCTCATTGAGACAGAAGCAGGGGATCTTTTTGTGTCCTTCCTCGTTCAATTAATTACGAATGGCTTAATTTCTGATTTTTTGCATCGGTGTGGGTCCAAGCTGTGTCATGTTCCTTTTGTTGGGTTGTGGGTTGCTCCAACACTGGAGTTTTTTAAGAAGCGTTTGGACAACCATTTCTCCGAAACGGTGTGGGGTTGATCAGGGGGGGTGGGACTAGAAGACCTCCAAGGTCCCTTCCAGCTCTCTTATTATCTTACTCTCTTCCTGTAAGTGAAAAGAATAAACTTCTTCCCGATATGGTTGCATTGTTTTGTGCCCTGAAAAATCCCATACAATTCAAAGAGAGTCGTCTCTTAATCCTGTTTGGTTGTCTGTGTTGTTAGAAAGAAAAGGATTTAGCCTCTAAACCCCTCGTCTAACTTAATTCCTCTTCCCTGCTCTCTTTCTAGTTCCTCAGTATCTTTATTTCACTGAGGTGTGACCATAATGGGACACAGTATTTCAAGCCTAGTTGGCCAGTGGGACCAGTAGAACATAGAGCAAATGGTGTGGGAGTACAGTGGTGCATGAGGAACGGTTGCTGGAATTGGGTATGTCTAGTTTAATGAAGAGAAGGACGAGGGGGGACATGATAGCAGTCTTCCAGTATCTCAGGGGTTGCCCCAAAGAAGAGGGAGTCAAGCTATTCTCCAAGCGCCTGAAGGCAGGACAAGAAGCAACGGATGGAAACTCATCAAGGAGAGAAGCAACCTGGAACTAAGGAGAAACTTCCTGACAGTGAGAACAATTAACCAGTGGAACCACCTGCCTCCAGAAGCGGCGAATGCTCCAACACTGGAAGTTTTTAAGAAGAGACTGGACAGCCATGTGTCTGAAATTGGTATAGGCTTTCCTGCCTGAGCAGGGGGTTGGACTAGATGACCTCCAAGGTCCCTTCCAACTCTATCATTATTGTTCCTGTGCATAGGCTTTTAGCAGTAACTTGACTGGATTGAACCTTCACAGGTGGACTTAGTCTTTCACACCTGACATAACCAGACATGGAAACCAGACCCAACGTCTTGAATATCTGGCATCAGAGCTGGCTGTACAAGGATACGACAAGGGGGGACATGATAGCAGCCTTCCAATATCTCAGGGGCTGCCCCAAAGAAGAGGGAGTCAAGCTATTCTCCAAAGCACCTGAAAGCAAGATAAGAAGCAACGGGTGGAAACTAACCAAAGAGAGAAGCAACCTAGAACTAAGGAGAAACTTCCTGACAGTCAGAACAATTAACCAGTGGAACAACCTGCCTCCAGAAGAGGTGAATGCTCCAACACTGGAGGTTTTTAAGAAGAGACTGGACAGCCATTTGTCCGAAATGGTATAGGGTTTCCTGCCTGAGCAGGGGGTTGGACTAGATGACCTCCAAGGTCCCTTCTGTTATTCTTTTCCTTCCTCCCTTCCTCCCTCCCTTCTCCAACACTGGAAATTTTTAAGAAGAGACTGGACAGCCATTTGTCTGAAATGGTATAGGGTTTCCTGCCTGAGCAGGGGGTTGGACTTGATGACCTCCAAGGTCCCTTCCAACTTTATCATCATCATCATCATCATCATCATCATCATCATCATTATTATTATTATTATTATTATTATTATTATTATTATTATTATTATTATTATTATTATTATTTCATTACGTGGCATAGGCTGTATTTTCAGAAGACTCTAGCTTTTTGCTTCGAGTATCTCCCAGTATCTCAAATAGTTAAAAAGAAGGAAAAGATCCTGGAAGGCTTGTTTGTGCCAAAGAACCGTCATGATTCAACAAGCTGGAGGCTGAACTGTTCCATAAATGAAGCTAAAAATAACTAAGGAATGGACATAATTATGACATAAAGCAAGGGACGGTCTTAATTCACACACACTTCAGTTTCTGGGTTGAATTCAGCTTTCGTCTTGGCTTGGCCTCAAGGGCTTCCCAGAGACCTGGATCAGGGGATTCACTGGATTTATTTAGATTTTCTTCAACCAGTAGCACGCAGAAACAAACGTAATTGTTTAGGACACAGACGTAGCCCCCCCAGTGTCTAGCAGGTAATGGGAACCAGAGTTGGGATGAAAGGAAGGAGGGAAGTGATACAATCTCACAACTTGGGAACAGAGGAAGGAAGTGAAGTCATTACACAATATCTGTTTCTGTAGTTGTAGGGCTCTGCTAAGCGTTCCTCTGCGAAATCAGGGTGTCTTTTTTATATATATATACAAAGGTAATCTGTTTTAGTTGAAAAGTGTTTATACTGCTGGCAAGCAAAGTCAGCTTTAGGATGTGCCTCTCCACAGCCTGATTTATTTAGCTATCAAATCCAGCTGATCGCCGACGGTTCAGACTTTCTCTCTGGTTCACAACCGAATAAAGTTGTTTTTGCTTCATTTGTAAGTCTGAAAAGTAGAGGAGAAAAATGTGCCTTGGAAAAATTGGACATCCCTCCATACAAGGAGCTCTGTATGACCTCAATCTAACATATTCTCATATAGCTGTTTTCATTCACATCATGTTTGGGCTGTGTGGGTGTCAGAATCCAGAATAACAGAGTTGGAAGGGACCTTGGAGGTCTTCTAGTCCAACCCCCTGCTCAGGCAGGAAACCCTATACCAGGGGTAAGCAACCTTGGCTCTTTTTATGACTCGTGGACTTCAACTCCCAGAATTCCTGAGCCAGCCACGCTGAGGGGAAAGGGAGAGGTTTCCAAGCTGAGCCATGCTGGCTGAGGAATTCTGGGAGTTGAAGTCCGCCAGTCATGAAGGGGCCATAGTTCCCCCATGTTGGCTGAGCAATTCTGGGAGTTGAAGTCCATGAGTCATGAGGGGGCCATAGTTCCCCCATGCTGGCTCAGGAATTCTGGGAGTTGAAGTCCACCAGTCATAAAAGAGCCAAGGTTGCCTACCCCTGACCTATACCATTTCTGACCAATGGTTGTCCAGTCTCTTCTTAAAAATCTCCAGTGATGGAGCACCCACGGCTTCTGGAGGCAAGGAGTTCCATCGGTTAATTGTTCACACTGTTAGGAAATTTCTCCTTAGTTCTAGCTTGGTTTTCTCCTGGATAAGCTTCCATTCCTTCCTTCTTGTCTTGTCCTCGGATGCTTCGGAGCATGGGCTGACCCCTTCTCTTCAAAATTTTGGATATTCCTTTATTTCTCCCCTACAAAATGGTCGTTAAGGAGGAAAGTAGACCACTGCAGTACAGAGTGCCTTTTGATTTGGAAACTCTTAGGATGGAAGTAGCCTAGGGACCAGTTCCAACACCACAATTAACACAGTCCGTTAGTAATGCAATCAGATTTCCTTACCGGTCGCTGTGCATCAAAACTCCCAAAATAAATAATCCTCAGAAAGTTTAATCACGCGAAGTGTTAATACCATTTTACAATGCCTTGGTAAGGCCACACTTGGAATACGGCATCCAGTTTTGGTCACTGCAATGTAAAAAAGATGCTGAGACTCTAGAAAGAGTACAGAGAAGAGCAACAAAGATGATTAGGGGACTGGAGGCTAAAACATATGAGGAACGGTTGCTGGAATTGGGGATGTCTAGTTTAACGAAGAGAAGGACGAGGGGGGAGATGATAGCAGCCTTCCAGTATCTCAGGGGCTGCCCCAAAGAAGAGGCAGTCAAGCTATTCTCCAAAGTGCCTGAAGGCAGGACAAGAAGCAACGGATGGAAACTAATCAAGGAGAGACGCAACCTAGAACTAAGGAGAAACTTCCTGACAGTTAGAACAATTAACCAGTGGAACAACCTGCCTCCAGAAGCTCTGAATGCTCCAACACTGGAAGTTTTTAAGAAGAGACTGGACAGCCATTTGTCCGAAATGGTATAGGGTTTCCTGCCTGAGCAGGGGGTTGGACTAGATGACCTTCAAGGTCCCTTCCAACTTTACTATTATTATTATCTCCGAAATTGTCTCCAATAATGTCTTCTTCCTATTTTTCTTCCTGTAGGAGAAGAGCAGGCAGAGAAGAGCTGGGGCTGGAGTTAAATGCAGCATCAGCTTAGAATCCTTATGTTGTCACAAATGGTCATCAAATCCAATCCCTCTTGAACGTCATTCCCTCTTTATCTGGCGCCAATTTGATTTGAATTTTAATTGACCAGATTCTGGTATATAGTCTTGAGCAATAAACCTTCTAACTGCAACTCAGTGTATGGTCCCGATCCTTTGCACCCGACACTCCCTCAGGTTCCCGAAGAAAAGTTTGAAGGGAAAGAGAGGGGAAGAGGTGCAATTGTGTGAGCAGAACATTGGATGAAGCCCTCTGAATGCAAGGGTTTGTTTGTTTAAAAGACCACACAATTTGAAGTTGTTGTCCCATCACTCCTAATTAAATAGCCCATTCATAATTTCCCCTTGAAATCTATAAAGGCTTGACAAACACGTTTCTAGGTATTGCAATCCACGGAGAAGAGGGTGGCAAACACCTAGATTTGTGTGTGTGTTGCGTAAGGGAACACAGTGTAACCTCTGTGAGCTTTCAAGTCACACTTTCCATCACCCACAACAAACTCACGCTTTGTTTTTTTTTTTCTTCTGTCCCTTTCTTAATCTCCGCAGAAGTTTCCGACAGAAGGACTTGCGAACGTGGTCCGGAACGTCTTCGATTTTGACTCCTACAACAAAGAAATGCGTGAGATATTAATTAGCACGTTGCACAAACACGGAATACCTATCGGTGCCAAGCCCGACAACGTACAGATGGCCAAGGAGTAAGGTTCATTGTCTGCTGTATTTGCTGCTAGTTGTAAAAACCTGGAACGCTTGAAGCAAAATTCCGTGTGTATTTTCCTCCGGAAAGGTCATCCGCATCGCATAATTATTTATTTATACAACACGATCGGCGTACATTTACGGGATACATCAATATGTTCGAACGGAGGAGTTGTTTGTTTTTTAAAAAAAAATCTAATTAACATGGGTGATTTGTGCAATGGAAATAAATAAAAGGGAAATATTTGTTTTGATTCTTTTCGGTTTCTATTCATTGATTGGTCTTTTGCTAATTTGTCACTGTCCTGCGTGCAAAACTTTGGTTTGTAACTTTTTTTTTTAAAAAAAAAATGGAAATGAAGTGAATTGACTTGGCTTTTAAATCCGGCACGAGACACTTTCCCCAAAGTACTGTGGAAATTCAGATTAAAAGATCTCGATTCAACAGGTCTTGCCTGGCACCACTCAAATTTATCTGGTGGTTAATGTCATTTTGTAATGATGTCATTACAGCAACCACGCAAATCACCCTGCTGACGCATTTTCGTATTTTAACAGAAGTTCGTGAATAACAGACGTCGTTTCCCCCAATTGGACGACCAAAACAAAATTTTCTTGCGTTTCTGCTTCCTTGCATTCATTCCAGACTGTTTTCAGGGTATCCAGTTTGGTTAATGGTATTTATGGAGACCCTGTTTTATGGGGTGCTTATTTACTGAACATCAGACAGATACCTTGATGTCTATAAATAATAATAATAGTAGCACTGTAGGAGTATGTTACAAGGTCGCATTTTTACGCTCAAACCATAGCAACCTGGAGAAACCATCTTAAATTAAAACAAGTATTTCCCTTTATGCTTGCAAAGGTTATGCGAAACAGACTTGTAAAAGCTGGTTCTGTTGTTTGTCTGGGTTTTTTTTTGAGACAAGTCCACTTTTTTAGCTATAGATCTCATTCAGGGGTTAGTGAATAAACCATCTCTAGAATCATCCTTAACTTGAGATATGTAAAATCTCGCAGACAGAATTACAGATATTTATTCAGTTACTTCCCACTCCTCTTAAATATGCTAGTTTTAAAACCTGCCTCCAAGAAACCATTGAAGTATAGCTTACTTAATAGTTATAATATTGCTCTGTGTACCATTTCAGTGTGGTATATGAACATTTCTTAGGCAATATTACCAGTTGTTTAAACTTCCATCCATTTTGCCTTCGTACTTTAGTAGCCTTATTATCTCTTTTCCCCCCTTAAAAATTCCCGGTTTAAGTTAGAATGGATCTTATCCTTTTTGTCGTGTTTACGAAAAAGCAACTAGCTTGAGTGAGTAATGTACGAGTGATACACGGAGGAGTCATTGCTCACAATTTCCCCTGAATTTCCAGTAGTTGCTAAAATGGAAGCCGTTGTCAACCTCTTTGTGGATTCTCACATTCCTGACTGTTTGAGACTCAGTAGCAAAAAAAGTGTTGTCGACTCAAGAGAAATGTCTGCCCAATTAATAATAGTGATATTTTTCTGGTCAGATTGCCACTGCCGGATACAAAATTTATGGGCTATTGGAAAATCAATCCTTTGGGGAAATCGCGACGAAGGCTGTTGTGTCCTACTGAAACTCATCGCGTAGACGTGAAGGTCTGTGAGATTGGGTACAAGCTTAAGGTTGATAGGGGAGAATATTTGTAGCTGGGGGTTGAAATGAGGGGTCCTTGGTGCTCTCTGAGCCTGTTGGTTTTCTTGCAGATGTTTCATGACCCAACTAGGTAACATCATCAGTGCTAGAATGGGAGGGGGATTTATGGAGAGGAGGAGGAGGAGGACTGTGGGGTCCTTGGTGCTCTCTAAGCTGGGTTTACTTGCAGACGTTTCATGACCCAACTAGGGAACATCATCAGTGCTAGGAGGAAGTGGGGTTTGTTGGGGAGGAGGGGAAGAGGAGGAGGGGGGGCTGTGGGGTCCTGGGTGCTCTCTGAGCTTGGTGGTTTTCTTGCAGACGTTTCATGACCCATCTAGGTAACATCATCATTGCTAGGAGGAAGCGGGACTTAGGAGGAGGAGGAGGAGGTCCTCCTCCTCCTCCTCCTCCTCCTCCTCCTCCTCCTCCTCCTCCTCCTCCTCCTCCTAAAGTGTGGGGTCCTGGGTGCTCTTTCAGCTGGGTGGTTTTCTTGCAGACTTTTCATGACTCAACTAGGGAACATCATCAGTGTTGATGCTGTTTGGGTAATGAAATGTCTGCAAAACACACACACACAGACACACACAGACACACACACACACAAAGAACCATGGAATGACTTCCTGATTAGGGGTGATGATTTTCAAATTAAAGAAAGAAGATGTGGGTGTCTGGATCACAAGGGATTTATTATAGCGAAGAAATATGCAGTGGTCTTAAGGTGGACCGCCCAGAATGGGTGATTCTAAAACCCTACAATGATGGTGACTTAATTTGGCGGCAGAATACCTACATTTCAACCCTTCCATTGTGCTTTATTTCATTTGCACATTAAGGGCGAGGAGCAGATGTCTTCCAGGAGGCAAAAGATTGCCATTTTGAGTTTTAACCCATCCTAAACTCCAAAACAAAGATCCCACCCGATCACTAGGATCTCGGAGTCCTAGTGGACAATCACTTAAATGTGAGCCAGCCGTGTGCTGCAGCTGCCAAAAAAGCCAACACAGTGCTGGGCTGCATGAACAGAGTGACAGAATCAAGATCACGTGAAGTTTTAATACCGCTTTACAATGTCTTGGTAAGGCCACACTTGGAATACTGCATCCAGTTTTGGTCACCACGGTGTAAAAAAAGACGTTGAGACTCTAGAAAGAGTACAGAGAAGAGCAACAAAGAGGATTAGGGGACTGGAGGCTAAAACATAGAAGGAACGGTTGCTGGAATTGGGTATGTCTAGTTTAACGAAGAGAAGGACGAGGGGGGGACATGGCCTCAGAGAGGGTACGCAACTTGGGAGTCCTCCTGGATCCGCGGCTGACATTGGATGACCAATTGTCAGCCGTGACCAGGGGGGCGTTTTATCAGGTTCGCCTGATTCACCAGTTGCGGCCTTTTCTGGACCGGGACGCCTTGCGCACAGTCACTCAAGCTCTCGTCACCTCCCGCCTGGACTACTGTAACGCTCTCTACATGGGGCTCCCTTTGAGGAGCATCCAGAGACTCCAACTGGTCCAGAATGCGGCCGCGCGGGCGGTGTTGGGAGGGACTCGTCGCTCCCATGTAACACCGCTGCTGCGCGAGCTGCACTGGTTACCAGTGGTCTTCCGGGTGCGCTTTAAGGTGTTAGTTACCACCTTTAAAGCGCTCCATGGCATCGGACCTGGCTACCTCCGAGACCGCCTTCTGCCACAG